GGTAGCTGGCTTTACATAGACTTTACAGTATAGATCAATCTACCCTGATAGCTTTTGTATTTTGAAAGTCCATTGGTGTACACTTGGGCATTCTGGTGTAAAGGAGAGAGTGGCAAAGCCACAACCATTATAATTATCTAATTCAGCTAGAGCCACTTTAATTTAAAACTTGTTGACTGGCCTTGAATTTGTTGTGCAACGCCGCACTCGGCAATATTCAAGCTGTATGACGGCGGTCTGTAAATAATTGAGTCTGGATCAGAAAATACAGTGATTAATATCATGAGCATCGATCTTCGCAATTGGGATACGATCACATGCATCAACCAAGTCACCGAGTCTGACCACCCGATCCCGTTAGTCACCCGATAAGCAGAGTCACCTTTTACGGCAAACATGTTCTAACCCGGATCCTCGCGGGTCCATTGTGTTGTGTGGTAGTGTGACTAAGGTTGGAGAGAGGGTGGTGTCGGGGAGGGGAATGGTTTGAGTGGATTCAGACGTTTGAGATGTACAACAAGGTGAATCCTCGGTCGTCCCGCGACGTCCTTGGCGTTCAGAAGAGGGTACAGGCTTAGAAGGTGTACTTTGATATTGATTTTAACACGAGGGAAGATAATTACAAGCTGAAGGAAGGTTTGTCGGGGAAACAGGAAGACCACTACGTGCCCAGGTTTTTTTATAGCATTTTGTCCATCTTCGCTCAGACCTTTGTGTGGTTGCGTCACTATTTCCAAGATCAATTAATATCACGAGTGTCGGAAAGGCACTATCCCAGTACATTTGTAAGCTATAATAGGATAGTGATAAGTACTGCTATACAGTCCCGGGCATCTATATTAGAAATGTTCTTTTGTCCACTTGTCAATTTTTGTCAAAATATATTTTCATGGCGAAGTCTCTGTGACTACAATACAGGACAACCTATTCATATAAAAGAATTGACAAGCTAGAACGTTTATGACATCATATCTTCAGAATTATTTATTGTAGAAGCATTGTGAAACTCGTGCCGTAACACAACTGGAGAAAGCTGCTTCCTGATTGGCTTATGTGGACTACCTGTTAGTCATTTCATTGGTTGGCCAATTTTCGCGATTGTTGCGGCGTAGATCTGATTTTAATGAGATTGATGACGAGTCGAGCCTTCAGAAGAAAGAGGCGGAGAAGTATATAAATCAGATTCTCGTTAGTTCCAGTGAGTTTCCCCCTGTCATTCGGCAACTGTTCCAACTAATCAGCTCAGATAAACGCGGTTTTACTTTAAAATACATTTGCGTGAATGACACGTGGAGGTCAGACATTCTACAACGTCGCTAGTTAGAAAACTAGGCACAATAAAACAACACCATCCTCGTTATAAGTAACTGTTGATGTTCAAGTGGAGACCATATCTCTGGTAAAAGGAACGAAAAGGTGATCGGACAGCTGAAGCACACGCCAGATGTTGCGTACGCTCTAACTGGATTACAGTAGTGGGGGACTGTGGTTTAAGTAATATTTCAGCTATATCGCCGCGGCCTTTAACCGGTCGAGTCTGGATGAGACACACCAGGAGATCAAAAATATTAGCAGCTATCAACGCCGTAACGGTACTTTGACACATAATCCCCTTAGGGACCATCTTCCCGAGGCAAGGGACTTAACTGACTGTAAAAGTACAGCTTCCACCCTTCCACTGGGCTGGGATTTCGTGGCTAGATCCAGAGACCATATAATAGATTATTATTATATGGTCTCTGCTAGATCGTAGCGCAACCAGTGGCTTTTACGAGTTATGTCCCTCCTATTGACCAATCAGATTCGTCCTGTCATATTACTTGCATCTGCTTCAAACAAAATGGCGGCGCCCAGTAAAGGCGATCTGTTCAAAAATCAAGAGTTATATTGTAATAAGACGGGTGTTACCCCGCGAGGTGTATCAGACTTTAACAACTTTATTAAAATCATGAAAATGTCTGAAAAATATGTGACAACGCCCGGTTGAAGGTACACATGCTTTGCAAATCGTTTGAACTATACACTACAATTTACGAAACGGATGTCGATGTCATCACGCGATTTGATTGGACCATGCACAGGCGCGTTAGTCAAATCGAAATATAACTCAGTAATTCAAGCCGAGTTCGGCAAGGGTGGAAACTGGACTTTTGTCAGTTATCTCTCTTGCAAAGGGAAGATGCCTAGTAACCGAGTGTGGCCGCCCGATCCACTATTACCTTCGTACGACGGGTATTGTGGGCTACGACCAAGTTGAGTGGAACCTTCGTTAGACAATGGTTTCATTAAACACGCATTAAATTCGTTATGTTTCATTAGTTGATGGGCGGGGCACGGGTGGCCCAGTCGTCTAAGGCGCCGCGATTCGCTCTGCAGAGCTGCGTTCCCTGGGCACGCCAGAAAACTATGATTGTTGGTTGGAATCCCGGTTCGCCCCGATAATGTTTCTAGGTTTATCAGCACCATACCCGTGCTCATGGGTTTCACCGACGTGGTAAACGTCTGAGACCTGCGTCACTTCGGGCTTTCCTCCCACATTAAGCCGACACGCCGTGATATTACTGGAACAATGTTAAAAGCGGCGTTAAACCCAACTCACTCACTCCTTGGTTGATGGAGTCATTATACTGGGTTGTACCTCTAAGCCTTTATTAATTTTGTGGTCCGTTTATGTAAGGGTTTAAGACTGTCTCCCAGTCCTTAGAGAATAAATTAAAATAAGAATCATACTCGAGTCTAGAAGGATTTGGCAAGTCTAGATCGAAATTAAGCATTCTTCTGGGCTCCATTTGGTTTTAGTTATATTATGTAGATATATTATTCTGAAATAAGGTAACTTTATTTCTAGGACTAAATAGTCTATTGGGGATGCTCCCATAGAAGTGTGATGCAGCCACGGAACAGACGACCTCGTGATCAGGGGACTGCTTGGTGAGTTTCTTTCTTAAACTTCAAACATACGAATTACATGTGTTTGTTGCATTTATTTATCCCAGAGATTCTTGCTATGGGAGATCGGTTCCAAAATACAACATCTAAAACCCTTTCCTGTTAAAGTATGTTGAGTTAAAGTGGGGCCTACACAGTCCGACAAAAACTAGATTTATGGATAGAATGCGAATCCGTTCGAACAGTTTATAAAGGGTTCGCAGAGCCAGTACTGCCAGGAACCAGTCTCTGTGGGAAGGCATAGGGGAGCAAGATGTTACTGTGGTGTAATTAACTACACAAATGGGTGTCATGTACAGTGACGCGCGGTAGTGAAAGAATGTGTTGTGTTCAGCGGGAACTGAAACAGACAATTTCAGTGTACAAAAAAATATTTAAAAAATACGGGATCGCTGACTTGGTTGATGCATGTCATCGACTCCAATTGCGTGGATCGATGCTCATGATACTAATCACTGGATTGTCCGGTCCAGACTCGATTATTTACAGACCGTCGTCATATAGCTGAATATTGCTGAGTGCGGCGTTAAACAACAAGCCAACCATCCAACCAACAAAACAATAACTTATTAAATTAAATGTGTCGGTGGACAACTATAAATCTATGCAATGCAAAAATGGGTTATACAGAGCAATGCAACCTAGTATTGTGCCTTTAACAGCAGGAACACCCAAGAACATTTCAAAGAATATATCGATTGACAGTGATAATGAAACAAAGAAGCATGAACTGCTCTAAGACACGGTAAAAAAGGAACAGTTCCTTATCACAACGGGACTTGGTCGACTATCAGCCTGTCTTTTCAGACAGTTTTCTTTGTAAATAGTGTACATAGGAGGATGTGAAATATTTCTTCAGAAACAAACAAGACGGTGTTTAGGACAGAAATCACATTTTACAATCATTAAATACCCCACACATTCAAACTGATTTCTTTATTTCCTGTCCGGTGCGCAGATCTGCATCTTGGGCGTGAGTTTTCTACTGTTATCTGCGCACATGCAGAATGCCAGGCAGTAAGATCTTGCTATATTTTGCAAATGCGCTGCCCGGACTCGGTATGTTTTCAACGAAGGATTTATGTCGGTGAACATTCCTAGTCTCAACAGCAATAATATATACATGTAGGGAATAACAAGTGTGAAGCTTAATTACTGTTAGTTGTCGTTAAGGAGAAACACGAAGTCGCGGCATCCTTGCCAATACACCTGCATAGACTCACAACCGGGTTGAAAGCGCTGCAATTCGCTATGCAGTGTTACACCCCTTCGCCGTGGCAGGATCTGCTGGTTGTGGGTTCGAATACCATATACGTACAGTTTATGATCCGTTGTCTGTCAAATCATAAAGGGAAACGTCTTAGTTTAATATGGGCTTTCATCTTAAATCAAGAATACGGGCTTAGGCAAAATTGAAACACTGCTCAAAACGACGCTCTACGCATTCACCTTGCTGCCCCTCTGTCTATCCACATGGCTCAGTTTAAACAAACTGTAAGTCTGCACAGGAATGACTAAGATAGATATTAAAGAGTGTTTCGGTGTTTAAGTAACCTATTCCTTGCGGGAAACCAATGGGGTCGAAGCACGGGGAAACGTCTAGACTAAGATTTAGTCCCAGAAATACAAGTATCTCGTTTAAAAATATGTTTCCACAAAATCAAAAGTAAATTTCAATTTGAGGCAAAAACCATCCTTAATTTGCCTCCAGCTCAGGTAATCATTCCAAATCATTCCAGACTTGAGTTGGACTCCTCTCACAATATATTCTACTGAGGTCTGGCAGATGGACTTAGGAAACGTCTTGCAAGATTAATGAATTGATGGATCTCCAAGGTCCAACTTTGGCCAAAAACGAGAACATTCAAGTGAACGCTAGTTCATAGCTTTCGTGACAGCTTTAACTACGGATTCCATAAATATTAATTTCCAGAACGTTCTTAGATGTATCAACAAATAGTAACAGGCGCCCAGCGAAACGTCTGTTGACATGTATACACTCCGCCCCTAGTTCTACATCCGCCCATAGTTTAAGTAGGGTAAGAGCAAGTAGATTGCTCTTCTGTCTATATAACGAATATAGCCGGCGCCAGTGGTGTTTTGCAACAAATCTGACTTCACCGACAGCATGGGTTTGATGCGTTTCATTTTCAAACAAATAGTTTTCATACTTTTGTATGGTATATTTCGTCAGGAAGTGTCGTCTGTTATCACTGAAGAGCAGACGAGATCTATTGAAGCTTTTGTATCGGAGTACATGGCATGCAAGGGCGTGTCTGGCCTAGGTATTGGGATCGTCAAGGAGGATGCGGTGGTTGCGAGAGGATTCGGAGTAGAGGATGTTGACAAGCAGAGGAACGTTACAGCAGATGGAACTCTGTTTGCCATTGGTTCTACGACGAAGGGATTCACGGCAGTAGTCTTGGCTATTGCCATGGAGGAAACGCAAGGAAGGCAAGTTAAACACAGTGTATGCCTGCATATGTGTGTTGCTCAGATGGTATGCATATACGTGCATGTTGCACACATGGTATGCATGCATATGTATGTCACACACATGGTATGCATGCATATGTATGTCACACAGATTGTAAGCATGCATATGTATGTCACACATGGTATGCATGCATATGCATGTCACACAGATGGTTTGCGTACATATGTATCTCACATAGATGGTATGCATGCATATGTATGTTGAATTGGTGGTATGCGTGCATATGTATCTTGATTAGGTGGTATGGGTGCATATGTATGTTGATTAGGTGTTATGAGTGCATATGTATATTGATTAGGTGTTATGCGTGCATATGTATATAGATTAGGTGTTATGCGTGCATATGTATATAGAATAGGTGTTATGCGTGCATATGTATGTTGATTAGGTGGTATGGGTGCATATGTATATAGATAAGGTGTTATGCGTGCATATGTATATAGATTAGGTGTTATGCGTGCATATGTATATAGATTAGGTGGTATGCGTGCATATGTATGTTGATTAGGTGGTATGGGTGCATATGTATATAGATTAGGTGTTATGCGTGCATATGTATGTTGATTAGGTGGTATGCGTGCATATGTATGTTGATCAGGTGGTATGCGTGCATATGTATGTTGATTAGGTGGTATGCGTGCATATGTATATTGATCAGGGGGTATGCGTGCATATGTATGTTGATTAGGTGGTATGCGTGCATATGTATATTGATCAGGTGGTATGCGTGCATATGTATGTTGATTAGGTGGTATGCGTGCATATGTATATTGTTCAGGTGGAATGCGTGCATATGTATGTTGATTAGGTGGTATGCGTGCATATGTATATTGATCAGGTGGTATGCGTGCATATGTATGTTGATTAGGTGGTATGCGTGCATATGTATATTGTTCAGGTGGTATGCGTGCATATGTATGTTGATTAGGTGGTATGCGTGCATATGTATATTGATCAGGTGGTATGCGTGCATATGTATGTTGATAAGGTGGTATGCGTGCATATGTATATTGATCAGGTGGTATGCGGGCATATGTATGTTGATTAGGTGGTATGCGTGCATATGTATATTGATCAGGTGGTATGCGTTCATATGTATGTTGATTAGGTGGTATGCGTGCATATGTATATTGTTCAGGTGGTATGCGTGCATATGTATGTTGATTAGGTGGTATGTGTGCATACAAGCCGTGGCGGTATGATGACACACACACACTCAGCCAGATCACACATTGTGACCATCCGATCCACAGAAGTGTGAGTGACGGGACAGCCTGCTGAACACTCGTCCATTCTGGTACACAGTGCGGAACATGTTCGGTGTATCTCCCGAAATAATATAATGCTGAAATATTGGTAAAGGAGCTGCAGGGGCTACTGTCTCGGGGTGTAAAGTGTGACAGATTAAACATGTCGGCTAGCTAATTGACTACTGACACCCAAATATAGTGGGTGTACTGCTATGCTTTTGAAATATATATACATGTGCATGAATCACTCGGGTGCTGAGTCTCCACAATCTTGGTCAGAGTGCACATTGCAGACATGGACATGTGTATAGCCGCCAGTTCCCAAACCATTAACCATTAAATACATATTGCATGTAATACCATGTCATTTGGTTGGCAAACCGTCAATTCTTTTTAGGTCGATGTTCCATAAACCGAACAAAGATAGTCACGCCTGCTAACGGACTACTGTTTCCTGATTGGCTGATAATAGAGTGGGTAGGGCTTGTGTTGCACAATTTCGCTGAAATATTATATCACTGACTTCGAATCGTTGTCTACAGTGTTTGGTTTAAATTATTAACTGAAGTTATTATTTTTGACGAATATATTTAAAAGATTTTACTTCCATGTTTGCTTTATGTAGGTATAACATAATGAAAAACATAATAAAATTCGTAAACGCATCGAATATTTCGATTGAAATTGTATGGTTTCAAAAGTCAATGAGTGAATATATACGAATGAGTGAATATCCGATTCTGGCCAAGACAATCCAGTGACTGGTATTATGAGCAACGTTGTCGTTGTCAAGCTTGACCACACGATCCTGAGTCACACGTTATTTTGAAGGTTATCTTTCTGCTTCGAAATGGCACATCGGAGTTCAGCATAACCACAAACATACGCGAGTAAGTTTCAGAATGCATCTTTAACTGATGATTTACTCACATTTCATAATCATTCAATCTTCCCAAACCGACACTATTTGCCTGCTAACGCAGATTGCATCGGCGAGTGTGGCGTAATGCTCCATCATATGGATGGGGCTAATACGCTGAGGGTTGCGTTTTGGTGTGTGTGTGTGTGTGTGTGTGTGTGTGTGTGTGTGTGTGTGTCCCTTCGGACTGAATATAACGTTGCAAAGTGGGAGCAAGTCTTTGAAAATTGAAATTCATTCGAACAAATACAATTGAAAACCTCCAACGTTTATTGCAACCATTGTACATCAGTTGCGATAGTGTCGAGACAAATACACTTTTAAAAAAATGAGATGCACAGGTAGTATGTAGTTCATTTAACCTGACTAAACAAAGAATCCGGTATATAAATTGGCTATATGTTATTGGAAAATGTTGGTGGCCTGGTATTCGACAAACGGTGCGTCAAAACGCAGCCATTGTCGATTTGCAGTGTCTTAAACGGCATTCTTTTCACACTTAATCAAAAATATCATGGAGAAAAACAGTAAAGCAAAATGCATATGCAAGTTATGGCATTCGTAACTCGTGGTAGTGGCTACAAAAAGGCAAGCATAAGCCAATAATTTGTCATTCATTTGTCAACATTTTTCAAGTTCGAAAATGCCGAGACTCAGCGTTGCCGATCGAAACATCGCCATAGGACGTATCCAAAGAGGGGAATCACAGCCTTCTGTTGCACGCAATTTCAACGTCCACCACAGAACCATTTGCCGCCTTTGTGACCGATACACACAGTTCAATTCCACTGTAGACCGGCCGACCAAGAGCTACCACCCTTGCACAGGGTCGCTACATTCGACCACCTTCGCGAGGCTGGAATCCGACCCAGAAGACCAGTTATCGTCCCTGTTTTGCAACAGATCCATCGATAGCGACGCTTGCGTTGGTGCCATACCTTACAGCCTTGGAATTTGGAATTCAGCGATGAATCACATTTTCTTCTTCACCGGCGAGATGGAAGACAACGTGTTTATCGTCGTTGAAATGAGCGTTTTGCCCCACATTGTGAACGTGAATTCGACAAATTCGGTGGCGGTAGTGTCATGGCATGGGGGGGGGGGGGGGCATATCCTACACCACGAGATCTGACTTGGTTGTGGTTCAGGAAAATTTGACAGCAAATCGCTATATGAATGAAATGCTTCAACCTCACCTTCTTCCAATTATTGACCGCCAGAGGGAGCTGTTTCAACAGGACAAGGCTCCGCCGCACACAGCTCGTGTCACGGTAGACTACCTTCATATTGCCAACATGAACGGCTTGCTCTGGCCGTCGAGATCTCCAGATCTCAACCCAATCGAACACCTCTGGGATGAATGAACTCGATCGACGTGTACGTCAACGTCCGAACACGCTGCAGACATTCCCACAACTGGCAAACGCGTTACAAGCAGAATGGCGCAGAATTTTGCAGGACAGAATTCGTATAGTTATCCAATCAGTGTCGAGGAGATGCAGAGTCGTGATTGCTGCCCGGGGCGGTCACACGAGATACTGAGTTAGGCGCAACCTTGTGGCCTTATGTGACATGACAATAAACAGTTTTCAACGCCTTTCTACAACGACAACATGTGACTATCGAACACCAAAATTTCATATTTGTATGTAGGATATTAAATCAAATATATCGACTTTATCAGGTACAAAAGAAATTCCTAAAAATCTACCTGTGCGTTTTATATTTTTGAAGAGTGTACGTGTGCGGTCGTAGCTCCATTGTAGTCACCATGCATAGCTTCCAACCATTACTGGTGTTCTTCTTCAGGTTGACGTGGGACTCAAAAGTCGCTGATGTTTTGGGCGAAGACTTTCGGTTTATAGATGAAGAGAGAACCAAACTGACAACTATAAAGGACTTGCTAGCTCACCGAACTGGTCTGATGGGCCCCGGCGTGGCTTTGTTCTACAAGTACGACAGCACCTATACTCGCGCTGATCTAGCAAGGTTTGTTTGTTTGCTTATTTAACGCCGCACTCAGCAATATGCCAGCTTTATGACGTCGGTCTGTAAATAATCGAGGCTTGACCAGACAATCCAGTGATTGATATCATGAGCATCGATCCACGCATTTGGCATACACAAAACGGCAAAAGGTACAAACATAGGAAGAATCACTGAAAAGAGTCGCAAACCATCCATGAACGCTTACAAATAACAGTTTTCAGAAAGTGCAAAGATTTACCGAAAAAAAACCTAAAATGTATGTCTGCTTTTACTGGTTCCAGTGTTTGCTTATTGTCTGTAGGGATATTCGCTATCTGGAAGAGAAGGTGGGTTTTAGGGATCGCTGGGTGTACAACAACTTCATTGTGACCTTAGCTGGTCACGTGGCCGAGGTCATCACAGAGAAAACATGGGAAGAACTTCTCCAGCTGACTATCTTTGACCCTTTAAACATGACCAGCTCGGGGGTGCTCGGGACGCCCATCCTCGAGTCACCAGGACGGTTTACACCCGGGTACTACAAGAAGGTTGGGAGCGTCTTGCAGACTCCTCGCCATGCGTACAGGTGAGTGAATGTGGTTGTCCACCGCTAGACCTGCCATATAACACGGGCTGTACATAATCCGGGGCAGACAAATCAGTGGAGATCAATACATGGCGACGATCGACTGTTAGTGAGATAGTATCATAATTATACGGACACAAATGGGGTGCAGGGATGCATGTTGACGTATACACCAAACTGTTGTAGTTAACGGAATCATTTGGTGACATGGGTGCAACAAAAGCAACAATTTGGTGGCTAACAAACGTAAAAACATTTTTCTTATTATTTCCGTTTAATAATTCTTTTTAGGCACCCACCCACCAGACCATGTCCTCAGCAAGCAATAATAAACATGCTTCTTTCATCGGAAATATACGTTTTGCAATACTGTAACTCTGTATGAAAGTGGATCTACAATACTGGGAGTAACATGCAACCAGTCGCCATCATGACTGACGTTTCATCCGTTCTACAATACTAATTCTCTGTCGTTACAAAGGCTTATTATGTACATATGATTCAACATTCTAAACAGTACACAACCTTCCATGGATATTCCTCATATGCAGGACATACGAAATGTTTTGTCTTTCGGAGACATTTGTGACACAAAGTCTGTATAATACATGTATCAAGTGTAGAGGTGTCCTCCCTGCACTGTGTTTGTGATTCACAAATTACTCTGTGCTCACTTTCCTTTCATAGGCAGTATTTATGTTCAAACGCATACACATGTACATGCAGACATGCCAATGAGAACAGAGGTATGAACTCAGCACTAATACCTTCTATCATATATACAAGTAAACATAAGCTGAGCATGATAGAGCAATACAATACACTGCCTCATGCATTCATGCTTGCTTTCTTTTATTTATGCTTATGCGAGCATGCATTCATCACATGCATACTCGCTTAGCCTTACCTCTTATATCACAAATAAGTTCAACTATTATAACTAAAATTACCAATATTACTTTTTAGCTTAATGTGTATACATGATTTAATGAAATTAGGATACTTGTGTGGTTTTCTAAAGCCTAATAATCACGAATCCACATTCCGTGTAGTCGTGTCTAAAACACATATATCCAAATACAAACAATATATACAATATTGCAAATACAATTAATTAACAAAATCCTCAATCCGATAATATAATACTAACCCTTGAATTTGATCCAAAGTTCCCAAAAGAATCACAAGCCAGAATATAGATATGTGTACTAGTATATGTTTATCCTTCGAAGACTATATGTGGAGTGACCACATACTAGTAACTTCTAAGGTGTCCAGTATACAGCTCGGCTGACAACCCAAACTAGCCATACAGATTAGGCAGTGACTGATAGTGTAATGTTTAAGGTAGGCTGAGCAATAAAATAAGATGACTAATACTGCATTTAATTATGTACATGACTTATACTTAAAATCTAAAATACAAGAAATAAACAAAAAGCATGTATGTGTGATAATACAATGTTAAATTTTTAGTCGTAAATCAGGACTTCTTCGTTCTTTCTTCATAACATAATATTTTTTTCAATTTATGTTTATCACAATGACATAAAGTAAAATCTCATGGGAATATACAACTTTGTAGATTTGGATAGATCGCAATATCGTTAATGCAAATGTCATATTCAAAACATCGAAAACGCCGCTTAAATAAGGTTTATATGCATTTTGTCTTGTCTATCAATTTCAAAGGCTGGAACGAAAATACGGCGCAGGCGGAGCTTATACATACTCAATATGTATGGCCTTGTTGGGGTAAATTACCTCCAAAATTACACGCTTGGTCGCACAAGCTACATACATACTACTATATAAGTCCAGTTACCACTGTGGAAAATGGCCGTTTATAGTCCGTTGACTCCCTGGCTTCGGGAAGATGCATATATTCTAACAGAAACAATAACATGTATATGTAAAACGGTCAAGACAACATTTAACGTCGGCGATACATGGTTAAAACGGTTTTACAAAGTTTATGAATAGTGTCTGACGTATTTAAATAGTACATGAACCTTTCGACTGGTGAGGAGTTGTTAAAAGATGGGATCATGTCATTCTACTTCATTTCCGTAAACATGTCACACAGTAAGTAAGTGTACATATCACATTCAATGAGGAAATGCATATGTACAACAACAACTAATGAAACGATCGCGTACTTTCTGTACCCAGCTGGTGGAAAGACCCAATCAGCTTACAGGCCTTGTCCGCCATGCTAATTAAGTCGTTTGGGTTGTTACAAAATACAGACCTCAAAATGCGTACTTTTAATATGTGCATTCTCTAATACCACCCAGTCGTTTTTTTCCTGAGTGCCATAGGATCTACACACGATCTCATTAAAACCTGTCATTTTACTCCTTTACGATACCTCTGCACAACACCTCCACGGAAGTTCGCGTCAAGTAAATCTTGAGCAAACTGACCGTCATATCTGAATGAAAGATGCATGGATTCTTGAGCCAATCCGATTTCAGCTCTCTAAACGATTTCTCTACCACTCCGATTCAGAAATTTTGATTTGTACAAAATGAAAACCCTCTAATAACTCAAATATTGCTTCGATGGAACTCCTGTTTCAGTGTAGTTGCTAGAAACGATTTGGTGTTTAAATATCCGCAACAATTATAGCGCGTTCTTAATTATCTACATTCGGAGCTGGAGCCGAGGATTTAGAAGCCGACGCTGACTGGCTGATTAGCGAAGCCCACCAACGCGGCCTCCGGTGGAGCTGTCCTGTGATCTTCACGCAGAGAAATACTGCATCGGGGGTGAAGATCTGGTTTTAATCAGGTTGCATCTGCACTCGAAAAGGTGCATTAGCGAGGGAACATTTGTGTTTTGTATATGGTTCAACCTGTCTTTCTTCATACCGATTATTTTTCCAATCAGGAACATAAACTAATACCCCGTTCACATGCACCTATATACATATGCGTTACATTTGCATACCTGTGTAAATATACACACGTGAGTATACGTCGTGTGAACGCATGCATTACGCATGTGTGTATATTTATGTCCGGAGCAGGTGCAAATGTAAATTTACACAAGTGCAAATTTACACTGTGTGGATATGTTGTCACGTGAACGTTTATGCCAACACCAGAGGATGATCTAATTAACACAGAAGAAGAAGAAGACGAAGAATGACATTTTTATTTAAGTGTCACGCATTGTACAGCATAAAATTGCTACGTAGCTCGGGAAGATGTGTTCAATGCCCGGCCAGTATGACCAATGAGTCACTAAAGTCATTAAAATAAGTAAAACATTTATAGATTGAAAGAAAACACTATAAGCAAGTAAAAGAAGAAAAACAAAACAAAAAAACAAAAACAAGAAAAACATCCGTTAAGGCACACCCAGTCCCCAGATTGTACAGATTAAATCAAACACATTTTGCTACATGATTATTGTAAGTTAACTCTCTTCTCATTCGATTTTGACTGGCAAACAACCTTTTCGTGTTGAAAGTTGTGAACAGACTGATGAATACCTGTGCCTATCTTCATTTACATACCATATCTATATTTATTTACCTTAGTGAACGGGGTATTATAAGGTTGGCTCTGGCAATGTTGCCGAAATTTAGAGTATAGTGCAGCTGAATCTGACAATCCGACATCTAACTGACAGAGGCATCTTTTGATTTGGGAGTGGGGCCTTGTGGTTAAAGAGTTCGTTCGTCACCCCAAGACCCGGGTTTGATTCCCGACATGGGTACAATGCGTGAAGCCCATTTCTGGTGTCCCCCGCCGTGATATTGCTGGAATATTGCTAAAAGCGGCGTAAAAGACCCGGGTTCGATTCCCGACATGGGTACAATGCGTGAAGCCCATTTCTGGTGTCCCCCGCCGTGATATTGCTGGAATATTGCTAAAAGCGGCGTAAAAGACCCGGGTCCGATTCCCGACATGGGTACAATGCGTGAAGCCCATTTCTGGTGTCCCCCGCCGTGATATTGCTGGAATATTGCTAAAAGCGGCGTAAAAGACCCGGGTTCGATTCCCGACATGGGTACAATGCGTGAAGCCCATTTCTGGTGTCCCCCGCCGTGATATTGCTGGAATATTGCTAAAAGCGGCGTAAAAGACCCGGGTTCGATTCCCGACATGGGTACAATGTGTGAAGCCCATTTCTGGTGTCCCCCGCCGTGATATTGGTGAAATTTGCTAAAAGCGGCGTAAAAGACCCGGGTTCGATTCCCGACATGGGTACAATGCGTGAATCCCATTTCTGGTGTCCCCCGCCGTGATATTGCTGGAATATTGCTAAAAGCGGCGTAAAAGAATACTCACTCACTTTGATTGGGTTAGGTGGTCACAGTTATCGATTTGGGGTTATGACAGATCCCCAGCAACCTATGCTTGTCCTAGGAGACAATGGATGGGGTTATGACAGATCCCCAGCAACCTATGCTTGTCCTAGGAGACAATGGATGGGGTTATGACAGATCCCCAGCAACCTATGCTTGTCCTAGGAGACAATGGATGGGGTTATGACAGATCCCCAGCAACCTATGCTTGTCCTAGGAGACAATGGATCAGAGGGTCAGGCACGTTGACTTCATCTAATCGACCCCCCACTGCGGCGAAAACAAACAAACGTCATATAAAAGTGTTGTCAAAGGTATCGAATGTGCTTGGGTAAAATATTTGTTTTAAAGTAATGACATTGACAGTGTCATTGCTTGTTCACTGTAAACATTTTCGTCATTTCTATGTACAGCATCCACCCTCTGGAGCCTGCAGGAGGTATTGTAGCTACGGTCGATGACATGGTGAAATGGTTACAATTCCTCACAGCTGACGGCAGGACTGAGGAAGGGAGACAACTGCTGTCAGCGCCAATGATGAAGTCCATGTTTGATGTGCACATGTTTGTCCCTGGTGACGACAACCTTGTCAGCATGCCTACGTTCCCAGTAGCACATCTACATCGAGGCTATGGACTGTCTTGGGACATAGGAAACTATAGAGGTATTTAGTATAAGGCGGCCTACGCTTTTACAATGAATGAAAATGTTCTGATATATATACGCCATTCTACTGCATTAAAGCAAAGGGGAGGAGGGTTATATGGGGTTTAACGTCGCGTCCAAGATTATTGCACTTATATAGCAACGTGCATGAACGTGTATGTGTGTGTGTGGCTGCTTGTACTAGTCCGGACTAAAGCCGATTGTATAGTGCACACTGAGATACCATGCCGCAGTTTATTGACATGAATACCCCACTCAGACACAGTATACTGACTCCGAGACGACCAGTCCTTGTTTAAGCCCGTTAATGCCGAGCGCCAGGCAGGGTAACAACAAGTATAATCTTTTAACGTCTCTTGGTATGACGCGGCCTGGGATCAAACCCAGGACCCTCCGCTCTCAGGGCGGACGCTCTACCACGGAGGCGGTCTCACATTAAAGCAATGGTTTGGCTGGATTTTCAAATGATTGCTAGGCATAAGCTGTTAAGGAATGTCAAGGAGTGTTAAAAAACAATTATTCACAGACCAGACCAACTGATTCAAAGAATCAGCGTTTTGGGCACTGCTGGAATATTGCCCACAGCGTCGTACAAACCCCACGCTCATTCAAGCATTCGCGGGTCCGTAGGAAAGATCTGATTATAAATACATTGCAAGTTAATGTTCCATGTCATTGCTGTTCCAGGTTTCCAGTTTCTGTGGCACGCTGGTCTTATTGGCGCCCACGTCTCGATGGTAGCTGTGTTGCCGCAATTCAAACTTGCCCTCTTCATCTCTAGCAACACGATGACCGATCTCCAGCCGATAGTGTACTACGTGGTGGACCTACTGTCTGGGCTACCCCAGTGGCTCAACTCAACATCCGCGTGTTCTTTTCCATCACCATGGAAACAGGACTTACACAAATCGAACGAGTCAGGTTCTGAGACAGATGGGCACAAAAAAACAGGCACCCCTACCGACACCGAAATCAGAATGGAGTCGTACATAGGAAGCTACGGGCACAGAGTTTTCGGCGAGTTACAAGTTAGCCTCAATAGGTCCATACAAAAGCTATATTTATGTTATGGGGCGTTACAAGGGCCACTCGTGATTGAGGACACAAATAAACATGTATTTCAGCTTAATGGAGTTCCAAACTACGTCAGATTCAGAACAATGGTGCAAGGGAAATTTCAGAATTTTGTGTTCCTCGATGAGAGTTTGTTTTACACAAGAGGAGTGCGCCTTTCCGATCCGGTCAGCGGCAGTGTGCGTTGTTCTTATCACTGCCTCGTTCTGACAGTGCTGGCGATTTACTGGATGACAGGTGTACATGATAAATATGTGTATTGGACGCAATGATGCCAAAAGCACGACCAGGTTAAGGGTTGTGCAGACTTCTTTTGTAAACAGAAAAAAGTATATGTTTCAATGATAAAGTATTGCACTTGCATCTTGACATGTCGCCGCTGGGTTGGGGTAAACAATTTTCTCTCCCTGTTCTTGTTTTGATGAGCTGATCGCGTGAGCCGCATCTTAATCGAGTGAGAGCTAGTCGGAACTCAACACCATTGTCTCTTTATCTGTTGGTTATGGACCGGACTATAGACAGACAGAAGTAAAACAAAAACACGTCGATAGTTAGAGCATCTTAATTGCTTATTACATATAGGCTGTCTCGTTGGCCCTCGTTTACAAGTAGGGGCGGTCGGTTAGCCTGGTGGTTAAAGCGTTCGCTCGTCACGCCGAAGACCCGGGTTCGATTCCCGACATGGGTACAATGTGTGAAGCCCATTTCTGGTGTCCACCGCCGTGATATTGGTGGGATATTGCTAAAAACGGCGTAAAACCATACTCACTCACTCAATCGTTTACAAGTACATCTGTTTAAGCATGAAGGCACACTACATTTAGGCCACACATAACATATGATAAGCGATAGAAATTGGCACTCGTCCTATAGTCCTTGCCATACTGCCCAATGGTTAATGTAGTAGCAGACATTTGCCATTTGTTATGGATTTGTTATATGATATCATTATAAGGATCAGTGGATTAAACATGTTAGTTCATTATTTTTGCGTTCATGTTTCCATAAACCGAAAAATATTAGGCCACGCCCACTTAGAAACACCTGTTTCCTGATTGGCTGATAATAGAATGGGCGGGGCTTGTGTTGCATTATTGCGCTGAACGATGTCACTGATTTCCTACTGATTCGTTTTGGATGTAATTATTGTTGTCTATATTTGTATATAAGAACTGACTTCAATATGTTTTGCGTTCATGGAGATAAAAAAAAGTAAAAACTGGTGGGCACGCGGAATACACAGTTTTGCGGTTTCCACTTTTATACCTCCAGAAACGCAAAAATATCAATCCAACTTTCACCTTGGAAGGGATGTAACGTCCTTCCCAGGATTTCATGGAAAACATTCAGAGGAATTTCTGAAAATGACGTGTAGATTTCAACATGATGCGCAATCACATGAAAATAAGTCCATAGTCTCGTAGGCAGAGCGTCTGCCCGGAGAGCGGAAGGTCAGTGGTTCAATGCCGGCCGCGTCATACCAAAAGACTGCAAGAAATGGTTCTTGTTGTTCCCTGCCTGGCGCTCGGTAGAAAGGGATATAAACAAGGACTGGTTTGCCCCTGGTCAGTATACTGTGACTGAGTGGGGTATCCTTGTAAAAATGCGGCATGGTATCTCATGGTATAAAACTGGCATTAGTCTGGATTAGTACAAGCACACATACACGCATGCACACACACGCACACACCTGCATGCACGTCGCAAAAAGTGCAATAATCTTGAACGCGACATTAAACCCCATTTCACCTCACCTGGAGTTTTTACCCATACTTCCTCACTGGCTCATACGTTTTTATGAAACGTGTGCATGTGCTGAGCGCTACTCAGAAGTTAGAGCAGGACTGCTAATATCCTTTTCGCGAACACCTGGTGCCATCACTGATATTCTGTGATCCTATCATTTACACCACTGTTTTGCCTTTTACGTCCAATGGAATCTTGTTTCGACAAATGCTCGAGATTAGGTATTCTCTGGCTTGAGGATTTAAATTAACAAACCAGCTCACTTTCCGCGGTGCAATTCCCGTCTGTGCAGATCGCTTCCCAGCCATACGTCTCCCCCTCGGCACAATTTAAAGAGATACAACAAGGACTGGTCGGCTCGGCGTCAGTATACTGTGTCTGACTGGAGTAGCCATGTTAATCTGCGGCATGGTATCTCAGTGGGATAGCACTATACAATCGGCATTAGTCCGGACTAGTACAAGAAGCCTCACACACACATACACGTTCATGCACGTCGCTATATAAGTGCAATAATCTTGGACGCGAGCTAAACCTTAAGTCACCCTCCTCCTCTGTGCTTTAATGCAGTAGAATGGCGTATATATATCGGAACTTTTTCATTCATTGTAAAAGGTAGACCGCCTTATACTTAATACCTCTATAGTTTCCTATGTCCCAAGACATTCCATAGCCTCGATGTAGATGTGCTACTGGGAACGTAGGCATGCTGACAAGGTTGTCGTCACCAGGGACAAACATGTGCACGTCAAACATGGACTTCATCATTGGCGCTGACAGCAGTTGTCTCCCTTCCTCAGTCCTGCCGTCAGCTGTGAGGTAACCATTTCACCATGTCATCGACCAATCTCCTTCACAGCGCGTGACACCTTCGTTACACTCACGGTAACATAGTATAGTATAGAGCTCCGCGAACGGGTTATCGCTGTGAGGAGCTTGGTTAGAGGCTCCAGAGGATGGATGCTGTACTTGGAGATGAATACAAACAGACACACAGACGCACGCACGCACGCACGCGCACGCATACGCATGTCTGTCTTTGTATAAGTGAAATAATTTTGAACGCGAGGTGAACCCCATTTAACCTCTCCTAAACCCCCGGTAGGTAAACTTGTTCTAGGTGCACTGGCTGGGACGTCGTGGAAGATGGACGCAGACGTGTTAAAAGAAGAAGTAGCCACACATACCAGACAGCAGTTTTAGGCTTTAAGTTCTTTCCACAAAAATCCAGTTTTAAGTTGAATGTTATTTTGAGAACTACATGACACTTTAAATGCTCTAATAATAACTGTATTTGTGATGACAGTGTTGGCGCAGAGGTCAAGCATATTACATCTCGTCTGCCTATGAAGATCTAATCAAGCAGTAGGCAATTTTAATTAGGATCCAATCAGCTTGTCTCAACTGTTTAATCCTTTTAACCCTTATCCTTACTGTACATCTGGCTTCATTACTTGTGTGTTATTTGTTATTCTTACTGTACATTAGGTTCCATCTAATTATCTGTGTGTTATTTGTTATTCTTACTGTACATTAGGTTCCATCTAATCATCTGTGTGCTATTTGTTATTCTTACTGTACATTAGGTTCCATCTAATCATCTGTGTGCTATTTGTTATTCTTACTGTACATTAGGTTCCATCTAATCATCTGTGTGCTATTTGTTATTCTTACTGTACATTAGGTTCCATCTAATCATCTGTGTGCTATTTGTTATTCTTACTGTACATTAGGTTCCATCTAATCATCTGTGTGCTATTTGTTATTCTTACTGTACATTAGGTTCCATCTAATCATCTGTGTGCTATTTGTTATTCTTACTGTACATTAGGTTCCATCTAATCATCTGTGTGCTATTTGTTATTCTTACTGTACATTAGGTTCCATCTAATCATCTGTGTGCTATTTGTTATTCTTACTGTACATTAGGTTCCATCTAATCATCTGTGTGCTATTTGTTATTCTTACTGTACATTAGGTTCCAACTTATCATCTGTGTGCTATTTGTTATTCTTACTGTACATTAGGTTCCAACTTATCATCTGTGTGCTATTTGTTATCTCGTACCTGTTGTTGGTAACGTTAATCTGCTGCTTATCACAACATGAGGCCTTAGTGGAATTCTGTTTTACCTTTCGTTTCATTCACAGTACATTTAGGAGACAAGCCTACTGAAATTTGATGTAGTCCCACTTATCAGAGTTTGGAAACGAGAGCTTTATGACAATGAAATAGCCAGGCAGATTCTAAACAAGCCATTCATCACCACTCTCCCCTTTCCGTAACCTGCAAGTAGACTCGTTCCGCTATCGATGAATGTTATGTGCGAAAATACGTTAAACCAGTTAGAAGGTGTGTGTAACTTCAAGTACTCCGGTCAAAGATTCCCTTAGGGATAGGTTTTGATTTTACGTAGATCCATGTCTTGCATCTGAAACTGTACCCAACTTTTTAAATGTGTTCAGTCATACCCTGTAAATACTGTAAGTGTATTGATGTGTTAAAAATAGCATCTGGGGTATAAATATGCCATATGGGGGGAATATACGTGCATCATTAAGAAACGAGTTGAAAATTCCCTTAAATATGCACGTCAGTCGCAAAAATGGCCACGAGAGGGGCACGAGTCGCTCGTCGGCTTGTCCCGGAATAACATGAATTGGTCACGAATGGGACACGAGTCGCTATTCGGCTTGTCCCGGAATAACACGAATGAAAACAAGCGTGATGATTCACAGACTAGAGTAGTTTCCCTTCGAAAAAGGGCAATAATTCAAGCGGATGGACTGATGGATTGCAGCGAAAGGCGATCAGTCACAAGCCATAGGTCTACTTGTGTTTTAAGACATGACTTTGTACAACTGTGTTCTAAAATATAAGTTTCAGTTTGAATCTGATGTAGTAAAACATTAATCGCACATATCCCAGAAAATTGCAAAGTTTGTAATGACCGTTTGTGACGATAGAATTTAAGAATAATATCATAACGTGGTTAATACTTGTGTTTTGGGGGGTGGTAAATATCCTGTATTAGCCAAGGTTAATCAGAATACCAGGGGACCCGTGAAGATCCGGGGTAGAATAGGTCTTCAGCTAACTATGCTTGTCGTAAAAGGTGACTACGTCGTAAGAGGCGACTAACGGGATCGGATGGTCAGGCTCGCTGACTTGGTTGATGCTTGTCTTCGATCCGAATTGCGTGGATCGATCCTCATCATATTAATCACTGGATTGTCTGGTCCAGACTTGTTTATTTACTGACCGCCGTCATATAGCAGGAATAATGCTGAGTGAGGCGTTAAACAACAAACCAACCAACCTTCTCAGGGCTGAAGTATGAAGGGCTTACTTCAAGATTGTAGCTCTCAAGACTTTCTCTATAGCGTTAGAATTTGTGTTACAAATATCAAGCTTTCGTGCCTTTTGTGTTCAAATGAAACAGAATGTTCCTATTCCTGTGAATGTAAGCAGTTTACTTCACCTTCGCTTTCCACCGACGCAGACGGCCGCACATGAAGATCGAGTGACATTATCCTTCTGAAGAGTACTTTACAGTGAAGTGAAGGGAATGTTTCCATGTTTTTTCCCCAACATAATTATACTGATGCCTATTTTGAATTTGATTCTCCGTGCCATTGAGGCAGACTGATAGTGTTATTCCTATTGAGTGAAACAGTCTTCTAGATAAATATAGTACTATTAATATTCGCGTAATTTTCATAATCAGAAATGCATGTTTGCTTCCTTTAAGAGGTGAACATTAAGAAGGACAACCGCTTGGGGGTGTAAGTTGAACACTGCAATGGATTCGTGTGTGTCAGTAAATGTTGTTTTACTCCGAAATCAGCAATATTAAAGCTGTTTGTTTGTCTGTTGTTTAACCCCGCTTTAGGCAATATTCCAGCTATATGACGGTGGTCTGTAAATAACCGAGTCTGGACCAGACAATTCAGTGATCGACATCATGAGTATCGACCTACGCAAGTGGGATACGATGACATGCATGGACCAAGTCAGCGAGCCTGACCACCCAATCCCGTAAGTCGCCTCTTACGACAAGCATGGGATGCTGAAGACCTTTTCTATACCTGGATCTTCACGGCTCAGTTGATGACATAATAAAAAACGGATCAGTCGGTCACACATTGTAACCATCTGATGCTATATGGAATCTAATATTCTGGGGGTGACTTTGGTCATTCAGGTTTTATACACATGTTCACACGCTTTCATTCTGGATGGCCTAGACAAAAATCGGCGTTCTGGATAACACATTTGAAAGAAATACAATGTTTTGGCAAGAATAATTCTATATTTTGAATCGATGACTGAAAAATATTCCCTTTCAAAGGAGATGTTCCATAGCATTTTCGCACAAGAGCCCGTGACGACTCGTGTCATACCGGGTTACGGAAAGGGTCGAGTGCTGTCGAAAGAAGAGTTCGCTGATGGTAGATCGTTTTACGTCACAATCGTCTGACGTCATAGAAAGAAGACGTCACAGCAAAAGCCATCGCGCTTCGATACAAGACGTGTTTTCGTGTCAGATGTGTTTTCCGCTCAGAAATGGCAAACTCGTGGTTTCAAAAGGGATCTCTTAAGCACAACAAAAGAACTAGACTTTGGTAAGTTGTTTTTAAACATATCCTTGATAAACTTTTGATAAATCAGTCGTGTAGAAGATGAAGAAGGTAATGTTTAGAAGCACATGTGTTGAAATGTCTAAATGTACCAGTATAGATGTTACAATGTGCTGCGATCTATGGTGGATAAAGTGAGTGAGTATGTTTTACGCCGCTAATCGAAACCGGGTCTTCGGTGAGACGAGCGAACGCCTTAACCACTTTGCTACTCTAGTAAACCAGTAAACGTATTAAGATTCGCTTTGACACTTCCTATGACAGTTTCCCTGATCCCCGTACATTAGAAAGAATCACGAGATCATTTTGTTCATTAATTATGGGACGATGTGAATCTGTTTCTTTCTGTTAAATAGTACAATTGTATAACAGTGTGGTTTCCAGTATTCTTTTTCAAAGCCGATACACTTCCAAACGACTATAAACTCTCTATAAAAGTACATACATCTCGTCAAGTTTATCAATTTTTTAGACTTTGGAACAGCCTATTTTAAAACCGCCCCTTTGTTCAAACTGTTTTGGTAGTTGATCTTCATCGGATTAGGAGTAGGGGGGGGGGGGGGGGGGGGGGAGGTGTACGTCGTTGGTGTTGTTTTAATTTCAGGTTCCCAGTTAAGGTTGACTCCTTGCATTGAGGACCAACATAACGCTGCCGCGGAGTTATGGAGAAGACACCTTTGTTGCGACAACAGGAGACTCGAAAGCATTGCATTGGCCGGTTATCTTCATCATCTATCACCCGTCTGGACGTCTCGACTCCATCATCGTGGGCATGTTGGAAGCCACCACAATACGAGGATATATTCCTTGGCCGTACCATCCGTGGGTACACGTTCCAGAGTGTAATTAAGTCAGGAGGAACCGCCACCGTATATAAGGTGGAGAAAAATGGGCGGACATACGCAGCGAAAGTCTCGCTCCCAAATCAACTCCACTCGGAAACAATATCCAAGGCATGGGCTACAGAATTTAGCATTATGAGTCCGTTGAAGCACAAAAATATCATTGGAGTTTATGACCTGTTTCCCCTTCATGGACTCCATGTGATCATGATGGAGTATTTCGATGGCTGCGATTTGGCCGACTTCATTGCCTGGAACAACACATTCCAGAGACAACGAGCTTTGAAAAAGATCGCGAGGCAACTTGTTAAAGCCATCAAATACTTCCATAAGTATTATAACATTGCTCATCGGGATATCAAGCCGGCTAATGTACTGATCGGAAAAGATTTGAAAGTCAAAATAATCGACTTTGGGGGCGCGATGAAGCTGAGACCGGAAGATACATTGCTGGACCGGAAGCCGACTATAAGCACTGCGCAGTACACCCCACCAGAGGTACACGCAAGGGAACGGCGTTCATCAGGCGACATCTGCATGAAAGCTTTTGACATATGGAGCGGTAGGAGTGTTCTTATATGAAAGTTTGACAGGAAAGCGGCCCAACTTCTACAACTCCGCAATGGGAACAGACACTGTCATTACTCAGCCCGATTTCAGTGTTTTTGAAGGTCGAGACAGAAGGTTACTTTGTTTGGTTAAGAAATGTCTGGATATGAATCCAGAATCGAGAATCACGGCTACAACGGCACTAAAAGAAAAATATTTCAGGCGTTTCTTTTTCTTGATTATTTTAAATCCTGATATTCTTGATCTTATCATGAAAAGCCCAAAACGGTAAATCATGGACTATATCGTGCCTTCTGATTTGACCAAATAAAGGCACACATTAAGGGCCATGACAAAAAGGTCCACAGTACCTCATGCTTGTTGTAAGAGGCGACTAAAATGGTGGACAGGCTCTGTGATCCGTCTGGTTGTGTTTCATGCAACCCGGATGTTGTGGATGGTTGCTCCTGCTTTCGAGCACCACAAAAGTCCATTGCTTTATCAGATAGTTTACCATACTTGACGCTATGGTATAAACAGAATTAGATCATGGCTCAAGTAAAACATTAGCTATGAGTCCCCTTCATATGAAACCAAAGTTTATTTATTCCTCTACAAACCTTGTTACAATTGGAAAGTTTTTTGTAGGGGGCACGGGTGACCCAGTCGTCTAAGGCGCCACGATTCACTGTGCAGAGTTGCGTCCCTTGGGCACGCCAGAAACCTATGATTGCGGGTTCGAATCCCAGTTTGCCCCGATTATGTTTCTAGGTTTGTCAGCACCATACCCGTGCTCGTGGGTTTCACCGAACTGAAAAACACTTCAGGCTTTCCTCCAACATTATGCTGACACGCCACGATATAACTGGAATACTGTTTAAAGCGGCGTTAAACCCAACTCACTCAACCACTCATTCATTATTTGTAACCAATGGGTGAACATGAGTGAGCTTATATATAATCCTGTCTTTCCACAGAAAACTATGTATATATTTGAACTGTTGCCAGATCCGTGTCGATCTCTTTTGTTCATGGTTCATTGTGAGAAGTAAACTATTGTAAGAGATCTGTATCCTGTTTCTTTGTAGTTTATGAACATCATTATCCGAAAAATAGGTTCATAACATCCTTTTGTAATGACAAGGTATTGATTTGGAATAAATAGTGCTACGACAAAGTAGCTCACCTGGATATGTAGTCCTCAGTCTAAAATGTCAACAATATATTCACTTCACAGACCTTGTTTTCAGCATTGATATTCAAATAATAAGGTTCGGTATATTTTATACTGACGTTCCAGTTTACCTGTGCACTTATATTCTCCATGTGGACTGTCCAAACATCATCTCCTTGTGGAAATGTCTTGTCTGAAGTCTTGACACCTGATCCCACATGTACAGAGGCCAACTTTTGTTAAAATGCTTTAGATTATTTGAAGTCCAACTGATGAAGATGTTGGGTGGTGAACGAACCCCCTACCTTCCACTCTCAGGGCTGAGACTCTAACACTAGACCACGGAGGTGGTCTTATTTAAGAAATAAAGGAGTACAATAAAATACTACACGGATAATAAACCACGAGGGGCATCAACATAATGCACAGCCTCTTTAAGGATGTTGATAACATGTAGCTTTAACAATGACTCCCTTAATAGAATCCGACCTCAGCAATGTTGGACAAGTCTATTTATGCACAGGTGGATATTCCCCACATATTTCCTCACATCGATCACCTGTACCTACTCTCCCAATACTCATTGTCGTATCTCTCCCGCTTTTGGATGCAATCGTCTGGTCATTGTTTTTATCTGCGTTGCCCATCTACATATATGGGAAACAACAAACTTGACAAGTCGCTCTCAAAAATACCATCCAATATATGACGTCATCAAGTTGCAAGCGCATGTTTAAATTTCCAAAGATTAGGTCATGATAAGACAATGTTTTATTGCAAAATAAACCACACTTCGCTCTTCATAATTTTCTTTGCAATTTATCACGTAGCTATCTTATATTCATGGATAAGATACAGAATAAGCTATGACAAATGACTTACTATCTACCCTTCACAAATGTTCACATAAAGCAAAATCATGATAATTCTCCCATAGCTAGTAGGTTATGTTCTAGCTATCTCCACAAATCTGATTTGACAAATCTTGAATTATTATAAATTAGTTCAAGGTCTTTATTTTGTCACATAATATTTCAAATATCACAAACCGCCACAACAGAATAGAGACCGTCCAAGTCTCACAACAGCCTCACACAATCAAAGATGTTTTGAACTTTAAGCAACAAACCTATGACAAGTACATGTTGCTTTGCAACGTGATACAACATGCTAAAAACTTTTAAAATCATAACAATTCATGACCACCATCAGCAACCTTAGTCATTTCACACATGCTTCAGAGAGAGTTGGTTCCTGATGGCGGGTGGTACGGAGCCATCCTTCAGCATGTCTGGCAGCGATGTCCCCAGAGCTTGCCGTGCCTTCAAGCAGGACAACTCTTTGAGACTTTTCAAATTTGTGTTGAAGGAAACAAGCTTCTTCTTCAGGGCTTTGCCTCTGGGGCCTCTGAAATATTGGGGAGGGACATGTTTTTCAATGTTTGGTTCTGCAGAAATGTCATAACCTGCAGCCAGAAGCATGTCAAGCATCTGCGTTCCCACATCAACATCCGGACATGTGATGGCATGGCACAAGGTGGTCAGGTTCTTCTTAAAGGACTTTGTTCTCAAAGGAGCATTCTTCCTGATGAGGTATCTCAGGATGTTGATGTGTCCACCTCTCACCGCGGCTCGCACTTCGTCATAGATTGGGGACGTCCCAGGGCGAGCTCCTGCTCTGTATAATCGCTTTACCATCTTGAAACCACGTAGCACAGCAGCATGAAGGATGGGCCTCCCTTCAAAGTTCTGCTTGTTAAGTGGTGAATCTGCTTCAATGAGACAATTGATGTTTTCTTCTGAGCCACTCATGACTGCTCGGAATATTGGTGTTGCTCCAAACTCATCAACTTGCCCAACATCGGCACCATGAGCAACAAGGAATTTGATGATTGGAGAATAGTCATATGGTTCTCTGGAGGCCAAGTGCAAAGCTGTCATATTTTCATCATCAGATATGTTAATGTCAACACCTAGGTCCAGCATTCTCTTGAGATGGGGCAAGCTGCCTTCTTTTGTTGCTTCAAAGAATGGGTGACAAGATGGATGAAAAGGAAAACCTTGTCCACAGAGGTAGTTAAATATCACAACGCTCCCAGCTCGAATTGCTATTTTCAGAGGAGAGTCTACTTCACTTCCAATTGCCATTTTCGTACTGGCAGATACTTTTCTTTTCTTGAACCAGTTTATAATTCCATGTCCATCTCGGTTAAATATGAGATCTGTTAAGGCATACCATGCAGTGTCCGGCACCTCACTCTCACATGAAAAGTCATCGAACAGAGGTAAGTCAAATCCTGTCTGAGTGCCCTGGCTTTGATACTTTTGAAATGTTGAAGATTTGCATACTCTGTACAGTTTAGTCACAGATATCAGACACTTTTCTGACTCCACTATACGTCCACCATATTGTTCATCACTTGCCATGTCTTCATCATCTGATCCTTGTTGTTCAGCTTTTGGTGCTGCTGCTGAAGTCTTGTGATTTTGGGAATCAAACATCATGGCCTTGTCTCTTCTGTGGGCATCACCTGGAGGTACTGAGGACTTCGACAACTCCTGAAACAGATTTCTAAGTTTACAGTTTATAGTTTACAAGTCACTGCATGGTTTGCCTCCTGCATACTTAAAACTTGCGGGGGCACGGATGGCCCAGTCCCATAGGGCGCCGCGATTCGCTGTGCAGAGTTGCGTCGCTTTGGTCACGCCAGAAACCTATGATTGTGGGTTCGAATCCCGGTTCACCGCGATTATGTTTCTAGGTTTGTCAGCACCATACCCGTGCACGTGGGTTTCACCGAACTGGTAAACGTCTGACACCTGCACCACTTCGGGCTTTCCTCCCACATTAAGCTGACACGCCGCGATATAACTGTAATACTGTTAAAAGCGGTGTTAAACCAAACTCACTCACTCACACTTAAAACTTGTAGTACCCAACAAGATGACATGATCATTGCATCTGAAGGTCAAAATCAGGTAACAGTTCATTCCATAGGGCAACAGGTCATTCCAACATGCTGTGGCCCAGTGTCACAGAACAATCTCCCATCAGAAAAAAGAAAACCAGAATATTTCACGGCCCTTAATAAGCCATTAAAGACCTATCCCTTCATTCACCTATTGTGGTCTGAGTGATTTTGAGCAATTATAAATATGAAATTGCTCCACAAATTCTTTACTTATTTTAAATGTTCCGATCACAATTAGCAGATCAGAATGGTAATACAGGGCTCGATTTAAGGAACTTGATTTAACCTGCACCAGGCGCATGTTGACAAGAAAAGATAGTAGCACCACAGACTAACCCAGGTTGCACCCTGTTCCCAAATATTTATCAAAGTTGTAACACAGATGCATGAACTAGTCTAAATAAGAAGAGGTAAAATACCAGGTCTCTGCGATACTGGGATCAGTGATACTGTATGGTAAAAACAAATTGAGTAAAATCCTAGATAGTTTTTATATTTGTATACTTATCCTGCATTACTCCCTAATGCATGTACTGCTTGTTCTAGACAGAAAAGAGCTGTGTGAAGATCTTTGCTTGAAGAATTTGTTCCAACCAGCTGAGAGGCCAACCCTATCACACAGTTCCAACGTGACCTGGGGAACTGACGTCACGGATCATCACATTACTCCGAAGTCCGGAACATCAGAAGGCATCATGGGGAGGCAGCTCTTTAGATGCACTAATGCAGGATAAGTATACAAACATGAAAAATATCTGGGATTTTACTAGAGTTTTTACTTATCCTGTATTACTCCTTAATGCATCTTTTGTGGGTTTTCATCTCAGAACTCATTATCCATCGGTTGTGTGGCCGGCAGCAAAAGACCAATCTTCAGATGGAAACCAAGAGATAGGTATGCGGAGTGTCCAGGTACGACACAGCCATAAACGATAACCTTACTCAAGTGTAAGTTGACGGCTGACATACCGAGCCGTATGCATGGGGCATGAACCTTCTACTCCAGGGCACTAGGGATGAGGAACGATCTATCGGGCTGCCCTGGGAGCTGGTTCTTGGCAATAAAGTCCCAGCACAGTCTGAATTGAACGGCTCTGGCTGACTATGCTCAAAGCGGACACTCGTGACGTCCAGGGCATGTAGATTACTGACACGGGCGGCTGTAGCAAGCACCAAGAGGAAGATTGCATTTTCATCAGATGGTAGACTGACGCCATGTTGAGGGGCTCGAAAGGCGCGTCTCTCAGCAAGGTGAGAATGATGTTCAAATCCCAAGCTGGTGGACGAGATTTTGCCTAGTGTTCTTCAGGCCTGAATGAGATGGAGTAAAGCCTGTAGTTCCGGGATTTTCGTCAAGCTCCGATCTTCGAGAACTGCCAGGATGGACTTGAGCGCCACAAGATAGGTCGTTATGTGCTACCTTTGAGTCGTTGCTTGTTGCGAAGGTAGAGGAGGAACTCAGCCAGGAATTGAGTTGATGCAGTGGTGGGGTCTTTCTGTTTTCCCCTGCAAAATCTCTCAAAGGATAGCCATTTGTCGTCGTATAGGCTCCTAGTGGAAGGGCGATGTGCCAGTGGGGTTGACTTTATCATACTCAGACAGCGCATCCGTCCGGATGTTGCGACAGCCTGGAATGTGTTGGACCTGGGATCCAGATGATTCACAAGGTGGAAGGAATGTTTTTTGAAGGAGTGAGGGTGAGTGAGTCTTTCCTTGGTCCCAAAGACACCAGACGATGGTTATGTTGTCTGTCGAGACGGAGAGCTGTGTCTGAGGGCCTGCTTCCAATGAGCGCGAGCCAGGATAAGTGCCTCCAGTTCTAGGTTGTTGATGTGCCACAGGCGCTGATCGGCGTTCCACAGCCCGAGGCGACCTGTCCCTCTAGGTGTCCCTGCAGGGAGGCATCTACGAACAGGTTTAACAAGGTCGTAAGCCCTGTCAAGGAGACAAGAAATTTGATTCCACTGTCCAACACTGGAAGTGAGGTTTAAGGTGATCCGGGAGGACGATGGAAACCAATGTAGGGAGCCAGGTACATCTGGACTGGGCACAGTTGAAGCCTTCCTCTGTACATCAAGTCCTGTGCTGAGGTTAGGAGGCCCAGGAGAACTTACCATTGACACAGCATGAGTGGCTGATGGAGAGCTGGGATCAGATGCAAAAGTATGCACTCCACCCAGTCCCTGGGTACAGAGAGCAGGTTGGGGTTGGTCTGAAAAAGACCCTGATGACCTGAAGGCGGAATGAGGGTGTGAACTCTGACTTCCTGAGGTTGATCTTCCAATCCAACTGGGGAAGGAGACCGAGGGTGAAGTCCCTGTGATGAAGTAGAGTGACCGTGTCCCAATGATTCAGGAGGCAGTTGTCGATGATGGCGTCGAACTGAATGTCCCGGAGATGGAGGTATGAGGCTATCAGCTTGGTAAGCCGTGTGAATAGAAAATTCCAAATGGGAGGACCGCCCATTGGTAATGGACTCCCATGGTGATAAAGCAGAGGAATTTCCAGTCGTCAGGATGGATTGGGACATGTAGATATCTGTCCTCGATGTAGATATGCATCCTCAATGGATGTGCTCATCAGCCTGGATCCGGGATCTCAGGAGCCTGAGCGTCGTCATCTTAAAGTAAGGTAGACTCACCAGGTAGCGTTTGTTGAATCCGGCGAGGTTGTGTATCATCCTGTGTCTGTCAGAGTCAAGGAGAGAAGGAAGATGGGTGAGTAGAAGCACGGTGTTAAGGCTGGGGTGTGTACAATCTCTACGGTTTCTTTGGCCAGAAACGACAAGATGTTCTGGAGTAGTAGCTGCTGTTGAGTAGGGGGTAGAAGTCCGCTATGAGGGACGATGCAACAGGCGTCTATAAGCGTCAGCTCGTACATCTGCTGGATAATTTTGGTGACATAAGTCTCCCCCAAGATCTCCCAATTTTTCCAGAATCGATGCAGTCTCCCACATACTGGAATGTCGACAACTTTGACGGCTGGCGGTGGGTCCCAGTCATGCCTCTGTGGCACTTCACTTGGAGTCCTTGCGGTTACCACTTCCTCCTTTGGAGTGGCCGCAGCGAGACTGGTACGAGTCTGGGGACTTGCATTGTCTCTGCCTTTACCTAACAAAGTTGAGGCAGAGCCCCGCCCCCAGGACTGGAAAGAGTTACGTCGTGGCTGGTAGGATCCAGACTGGGCGGCTTAAAGGAGGCTGGCTGCGATACCCTAGCTAGGGCCTTTACGGTAGTCTCAACCTGGGCGAAGGCTGGGGTAAATTTTAGAGACCTCTCCTGAAATAGGTCAAAGGATTGATGAAGCAGGTCCCTCTTGAACTCCCAATCAGATGAAGCGAGGTAGCCCCGACGCTACGTGGTTGTAAGTTCAATCAGAGCGGCTTGCATATGAGAGCGCAAATGCTTGACCTGTCGTTAAATGGAGGATAAGACAGTGGTAAGGTGGTCTATTTGGTTTGGATTATCCTCTGACAGGTCTTGGATAATGGCTCTGGAGGTCGACGCTATAAGGGAGAGTGGCCTGAGAGAGCGACGAATCTCTGTTTCCACATAGGCAAATTGGTTAGAAACTCGTATAGAGGTGGGACGGTTAGACCCAGTCATGCGGTGGAGATCCTCGTGGAGCTCATGGGCGCAGACTGCAACCTGGAGGGAGAGGATGAGACAATCACTTCGTCTGTAGCGTGGAGCTCTGAAGGACGGTGTCAGTGAGAGCTTGCTAAAGTCCTCGTCGAGGGCCAGGATCATGTTTTTGATCAAGGGAGCCGGTGGGATATCGACAACTTGGCAAAGAGACAAAGTAGCCCTTTTAGTTGGAGATGTCTAGAAAGCGTCGGACATCTTACACCGGAGTTTCCGCGCCTGCTGTGATCTCTGCTTTTGAAATCTGTGGGGGAAAGCTGGAGACAGTCTTAACATCGAGAAGACTTGAGGCATGGAGATGTACAATTTAAGTACAAGGGGTGGGGATCCCACGCCAACATGTTACGCCGGCACTTGGAACAGAAGGGCATGTTATCTGCAATGAAGCAGTGTAAAATCACAATGCATCCCCGTCCGATTATGTACGTTATAATTTGTTTTCCCACTATGTGGGGTTATGCAACAAACATTACGAAGAACATAAGACAATATACAATGACAAAGCAAGATACATGCAAGGGTACGGCAATGGTAAGGTACCAGGCAAGAAGAATATAGCACGACACCCAAGATTACCATTGTAACGCCAACAGGTGTCAAATAGTTATGCACAAGTTGAAACAAAGAATGTACAAAGATACAAATACAACACAAGTACAAGAAACATTAACTCAAGAAGCATAACACTGAGGGTTTGAACAAGTTTTGTGAGAGATGAAAAAACAGGTCTTCACTCAGCAAGTGACAAGAGTAAAGTGATGATCTGTGACGTCACTTCCCCTGGTCACATGGAAGCTCGGTGATAGGGTTGGCCTCTCAGCTACTTGGAACAACTTCTTCAAGCAAAGACCTTCACACAGTTCTTTTCACTGTCAAGAACAAGCAGTAATATGCATTAAGGAATAATGCAGGATTAGTAGAAAATTTACCTTTTTGGGTGATCAAAACATGTACACAGATACAGTGGATTGTAAAGAAAGGCTTATGTAGATATCCACAAATTGCCTGTAAAAACTTCATCAGATATGGGGGCACATGCAGATAATTTTCAAATATTTAAGGCTTCAATGCACATAATGCATGACATTAAACAAAGCACCAGCCCCTGCTTATCTGAACACAACTATTCTGCCCTGTCATGTACCTCCTGCTGCTGTTCCTCATCAGTGTCGCAGTAATCACTCTCCGACTCCTCATCCTGGAATGAAGCGTAGGAGTAGAAATCATTATCCCATCCTCCTCCATCTTCTGGACCACAATCTGCTTCTGTATCAGATTCCTCTTCCTCCCCAGAAGTCCAGGAATCACTCTCTCCCCAACAAGTCGACATGGCCTGGTTGTACAGAAGGAGCACAGGAACTTAACATAGCAACTTAGCACATTTTAATACTTTAGGCTTTACTTAATCACAAAAGCTTGACCAAAATTGAGATTGAAAAACAGAAATATTGCAAACTCCTCCACTGCTGGTAATCCCCTTCCTTGACGTTAAAACGGGTTCTCAGCGTTTGACGTGCTGCACAATTTCAAAGATCATGATGATCAGGCTGATGCCCAGTCTGCCTGCTTCTGCTCATCCATTTGATTACCGTGTCCACAACTAATATCACCTTAGTAACAATACTGAAGACAGGCATGTATTGTGTGGAACAGGGCTGAGGGCAGCAGCTGGTATGTTACCTGAACAGGATGTTAGTAATGAAACTCTAATTAACAATCTTTAAGTGTTATCCAAATTATTCACAATGTCAAGATCAAGGGTTGTTTCACACATTCAACAATGTATGCAATGTTATTTTTCTAGGATTATTAAACAGAAATAGCAGAAACAGTGTATGGATAATGGTTAAGAATCACAAAATAGATAAACGCATCAAACGTGACAGCCAATTAAAAAAGCTGTCAACACTGCGCTGGTAGCTTCAGGCCATGCCTAAACAGGTTTGTTGTGGGAGCTGATTTTGGAGTGTTTGATTTCATCACTTCCACACAGACATTTAAACATGTTAAATTCTTAAAAGGAATATTTTGAATTTTTCTCTCTCTCAGAAAATTGATATTGGAAAATACATATCATTCATTTTTTTCACTTTACTTGCCCTTTGACGGTAAGTTGGATAAGCTGATTGGTTGCCCCTTTTATTAAAGATTCACAAGAAAATAGTATTTAACTTTGGAATTTTATTTTCAGCATCATTTTGCATCAAGTGTGTTCCGATATTTGTCTTCTGTTTGTCTTTCAAGTTTCCTTGTGCACATGTTCAATCAATTCTGGCTTCCATCATGTATTTTGATGAACATTTTTCTCTAAAGACATTCACAGAGGGTTCACTTACTGGCGCCAGGAGCTTCTGTTAACTTGATTAACAAACAGTTACATTACGATTTAAAGCTAGCTGCGAAGTCATAGCTATGTACTGCTCCAGTTTTATTGTCCTACATCAACTCATCCTTTATACATGTCGGCGGCCAGTAAACATGGCGGGTGATAGCTTAAACGCCTCCACATCAGAATGTCACCAAGTGAAAAAGTCTCCCGATTGGCAAACAAGGCACAGTGTCATCATGCTATCGTTGTCATCTACCCGTTTTGTCAGTACACCTGTTTCCAAACAAACCAATGAACAGGTTTTACACTCTCAGTGATTTTTTTAGTTCTAATGCCGACATGTAAGAATTATGTTGAGCATTGTTGACACTGCACTAAAGCACGGCTCCTCATTCATGGACACTCTGCTAACATACCAAACCAATCAGGTTTTTGAAATGAGGTGACATCCCTCGAGCGCAGCGGAAGTTTACAGACAAGGCAATGGACATAATGGAGTTCATACTTTTATCAAGGATTTTTTATGGTCCATCAGAATATTAATATGCAGCTGAATTCTATTGTTAAACATCACCAACATATAAGTTGTACATTGTAAATGTCGAATGGAACCATTTGTCAACAGTATGTACGAATTCATAATGCCATTTAGAAAGTAGTCAAATGTAACAAATGTTATATTAAGGATAACACTTTCGTAGTAAAGTAGAGATTCTCATACTTTTTTTGGTTGAGTCCCGTCAGGGATTCGAACCCACACTGGCAGAGTGAGGCACCTAATCGCAAGCACACAAAGTCAACAATCTAACCCACTCAGCCACCGAGGCTTCCACAAAATGAAAGTCCCACAACTGGTAGTCTGGATCACGTACAAAAAAGTATGAGAATCTGTACTTTACAAAGAAATTGTTATCCCAAATATAACATTTGTTATATTATGTACGAATCTTTGTCTTTCCCCTATATATGGACACAGTGACATTCAGGATTTACATGATGCAGTAATGTGTCCAGTGTACTCTAATATTAGGAATGGACGCACAATACTATTCATTGTACCCAAATCTTGACAAGAAATATCTTGGTCCGGTAATTAAAGTAATTATCTTCTTTTTCACTTTTGTTTGTTGTTGAACATGTTGAATGCCACACACTGCAATAGTCCAGCCATATGACAGCAGTCTTTAATAATCCAGTCTGGATCAGACAGTCCAGGGATTGACATCATGAGCATCGATTGGGATGCGATGACATACATGAACCAAGTCAGCGAGCCAGTCCACCTGATCCCGTTAGTCGCTAGACAAGCAAGCGGTTGCTGAAGAGCAATTCTAACCTGGATCTTCACAGGTTAAAGTAAATATCATATCTTACAGTACAGTATTCTACATCATTTCATTACTACAAAGGATCCTCATATTTCCTGTAAGGACCCTTGAAATAAATTATTGGGGGTCCCCTATACCCCTAGTTTTTTAGGTCAACATGGTCAAGTGTGGCTGGCTACAAATATTGATAATCGTAATTATCATTGATAGGAAGAATTATTAACGATTATCGATATGAAAATTGTGTCATTGACAATATCTTACACAATCTCATTAAAATCAGTGTTCGAAATACCTGCCTGCCCCACCGTCCGAGACGGGTTGATTTCAACTCGGGCTGCCAGATTTTCAAATCCCCCTGCCCGACGGTCGGGTTATGTTTCATATGTGAAAATATTTTAAATATTTCCCGATGATAAGCATTAATTAACATGTAAAGATAAATCGCTGAACAAAGATCTGAGGACATCCCATTATGGGTCACGTCAGAATGACCTTTCATCCAACCAATCAGAGCGTCGCTTACCAGATCATAGAAGTGACAGGCGGAATGTGTTTTCTAATCATGCAACCTCAAACTATTTAACAGAGGGTATTCCGAACGACAGTTACAGGATTCATGATTATATCAAATACAATCTAGGCCATCTGTAAGCCATTCCAGAATGTTCTTTTTATCAGTTTTAAAAATTTAACCAAGAATATGTCAAAATATGTTTTGAGGCATAGTCACCAGTTTGAAACTAGTGTGGTAAAGCTCGAGAAAGCTGCCTTCTAATTGGCTACTGTCGATTTCTTGTCAGTTAATTCATTGATCGGTCAATGTTTGCGATATGTCGTTCTGAAATGACTCGTAATGGGATGTCCTCAGATCTTTGTTTAGCGGTAGCGAAAACTAAGATCTGATTTTAATGAGATTGTATCTTACATAAACAATTGTGATGAAATAAAGTTTAAATTTTCCAAAACAGACTTGTTTTTATCAATCATGTCAATTGCCAAAGACGGAAAGCAACCATTGTATTTATAACTAAAATGTACAGAGATTCATCCCTGCATAAATGTGTCACCACTCACAAGTGATGTGAAATATGTTGATTTCTTTTGGACTCTTTTGCTTTTTTGCTCAAAAGTTACTTCTCTGATAATTATCGATAATTGATTGATATTTAATTGACGATTATAAGACGAAATGAGACGATACAACTATGATTTACATCGATTTATGAACCATACACATCTTGTGTGAAAGTCTGTATGATTTGTTGTTTGTTGGGACAAATCCCTGTAATTTACTACTTTTTTAACAGCATGAGTATCAGAATTCTGTAAGAAATGATGGATCAATGAATTAACACCTGTGATGACTCAGAGCACTTAATGGTGGGGTACATTTTATAAGGGGCAGAATAATATTGGTAAATCTCTTATTTCAAAGTATGATGACTTGAATGTATATTGCAACTGAGCAATTGATTGCTTGATAAAGGCATGGTAGATTTTCATTTGGAGAAAAACGTATTCGACCTAATAAGCGCCCCGCTCTAATAACCGCCCACGGTGATATTTGCTAGTATATTGGCTAGTGAACAATCCCAACTAGCACCCCTTCTGATTGATCAATGTACACGCAACTTATTTATTCGTGTATAATACGCACTCGTGTGTTATATGTCTCTTAATTATGGGCAATTAAATTCTGGAAAAATATATTTGTCATATACAAACATTTTAGGCTGTCAGCATAAACCACAAAATTTACGGTCATTCAACTGTTCAATGTTTTTTTTCACCAAAAAAAATATTCTAATAAGAGGCCTCTATTTCTAATTTTGAGAACGCCCTGGGCGCTTATTACATCAAATACAGTATATCTGAAAAAATAATGTCAGAATAAAAAAAATATAAAAAATCAAGTTTAACTTTCATTTTAATATAAAACCAACATTTAAAATTATTTGTTTATTCTGAACATTTTTTTATCTTCACTTATTTTTAAAGGCACTGGTGTATACTGGATTCTAACTACAGATCAGTGGGAAAGGCCGGTCAAAGATGTCTGTGTGCTGCACATGTAGGTGCATCTCCAATTTTTTTACATTAAAGTCTACGGTAGTATGAGAACTACTTGCTTAGATTTGAATGCTTGAATGCTTTTAATTGTTACAGGAAATAACACAAAGGCTGAAAAAAAAATGAGTTTGCATTATTTCATGGATGTGACATGATAGCCCAGGCTGACAGAATGCCTCACTGTTTTCTGGCATAGAAAATACAGTGGCAGTATACCATTTTTCATGCTATCTTCCATCGAGACAATTTGTCTTTTAGTTGAAGACTCAACAAATGTTGACATTCTACACTAATAATCACTACAACATATGTGCAAGTTAAAAATATTCAGTTGTAAAAAAACGTTTTTGAATGAAGTTGCAACAGGGTAATGCTTTAGCTTGGCTCCGTCTCAACATGTCACAACTATAGTCTATAATTGTCGCAGCGATGTAGATCCGGTAACCATCCTAATGTTACAAGCATATCAAAGAGGGAAAGGCAGTTTATAATAGTTTTTCATGTTTTGGATTTTTGTTATGTAAAATGAATGAATGTTGGAAATATAAAATGAATGAATTTTGGAAACGTTATAGTGCTATGAATAAATTGCTATGAAAGTACAGGTCCAAATATGTGAGAATTTAGTGCTGAATTGCTGAATAAATTATTAGAAACATAATAATTGGGAAGTGGGGTGTTACGATCTACACCGGTTAAAGAAAAATCCTGTTTCGGACATCTTGCAAGGATATGTGTAGTCTACGAGTCATCCAAATTTGAGTACGAATCAGCCGAATTAAGTACGAATGGCCCAAAACAGGTACAAATCTGACGAGAATTTTAGGAAAGAGTTAGCCATTTTCGTAGGGTACGAATCTCCGTGCATACGGATCGTCTCGTGTGTTCAGATGATCCGTGACATCGTACACACTCGGTGACATAAGCTGCCACACGCAGCAAATAATGGGTACCAGTCATGACGAACCAGAAAACAAGTCCAATACGACCCAATGTCATTATTCTCTTTCTTGCATACCTTCTAAATAGTCAAAGCCTTCTTACATAGTGGCATCAGCATGTATCAATCTGGAACGATCTTCTCAAATAGTTCCCGCCACCGTAATGAATAACAAATAAGAGTGACCCCCCTTTGAGAATAACTGGTACCGCTGTTGAAATGCGCATGCTGTATTAGACAAGAACCCACTTGCTGCTACCGGTGTTTCGGACTCACTTACTACGACAAATTGTTCACGATACGTTTAAAAGAGTCACAATACGTGAAAAGTGCACACAGAAATATTAATTTTGTTAACATTACTCAGCCCTTGATTCTACAGTTGTTCAATGTTTATTATGAAAATGTACATCAATTTATGAAAGGAGCTAGATCTTATTCAGATAATTTCCCATCTGGTAGATCTAGACCTGTAGTATTATTTTTTGCTTTACTATAAGTTTTAATACCTGTATTTTTCTATTTCGCATGCCTCTTTTGAAACATTTAAATTTTACTTTCCCCTGTGTCCAAGCAGAGACCATATAATAGATGGTCTATTATATGGTCTCTGGTCCAAGGATATAGAAACTTTTACATGTATAAACCTTGACATGTGATTTATGTGAAAATTTTCCAGAAAAATATTTTATATTATATTTCATAATGATTTGCAATGTAATTAACTGAACTGGAGGTTACCTGTATCTACATAGGCATGACAAATGTAACATTCAGAGGTTCCTCCCTCAGCCATGCCTTGAGCCACTGTGAATCTCTGCATCGCCTCTATTTAGGTCCATGGTTTGTCAGTATCCCTTCCTCTGCAGAGTCCAGATGTCTTATACTGATGGCAATATTATGTTTACATACAGTGTCATTCATTTCTGATCAGAACAAGTGTTCCCGCATCAACAAATATGAGACTCCTAAAGGATCAAGTCAGATGCACAACGGCTCCTTGACATGGCTGATGAGGTCAACAGCCATGGCATTAAATTATTTACAGGCCTCCATGATTTAGAGTATGATTGACTGCGACGTAAAACAGATGCTCTTTAATTCCATCTCTAATTTGAAACAGGATATAGTGAATTCGTAGACCCAATTTACAGTGACAACACACAGTCATGTGACAGCTGTGCCCAGTGGAACACCGTCTGTGCAACACTGGGTATCATCAGACAAGTGAAAGACGACTTGACTATGGATTTCTTGTGCCTGCAATGTCTACATTCTCCTTCAACCCAACTCCTCTGATAACCCATGTCTCCAACTCCTTCAACCCAACTCCTCTGATAACCCATGTGTCTCCGACTCCTTCAACCCAACTCCTCTGATAACCCATGTGTCTCCGACTCCTTCAACCCAACTCCTCTGATAACCCATGTGTCTCCGACTCCTTCAACCCAACTCCTCTGATAACCCATGTGTCTCCGACTCCTTCAACCCAACTCCTCTGATAACCCATGTGTCTCCGACTCCTTCAACCCAACTCCTCTGATAACCCATGTGTCTCCGACTCCTTCAACCCAACTCCTCTGATAACCCATGTCTCCGACTCCTTCAACCCAACTCCTCTGATAACCCATGCGTCTCCGACTCCTTCAACCCAACTCCTCTGATAACCCATGCGTCTCCGACTCCTTCAACCCAACTCCTCTGATAACCCATGTGTCTCCGACTCCTTCAACCCAACTCCTCTGATAACCCATGTGTCTCCGACTCCTTCAACCCAACTCCTCTGATAACCCATGTCTCCGACTCCTTCAACCCAACTCCTCTGATAACCCATGCGTCTCCGACTCCTTCAACTCTTACTCCAAGACTACTACTCAATTGTATTTGCTTTGTCTTCGAGTTCACCATGTATTTTATCTACGAGTTGGGAGTGGCTAAGAATTCACCTACAGCCCTTTGAAACATGTAATGGCTTTTCCAACAAGACATGCAATGTATTAAAAGAAAACAAACACATCTTTTATTTTCATACTTTGGTTTATTTACCATATGAAATTTTATGATTCCACCTTCGACAAGACCAGTTGTATGTAACGGTGTATCACTCACATCGGCATCCTTCCCAAAACAGTCATAAAACAGCTTCAACACAAACAGAACATCAGACCACCTACACCTGCAGTAGAAGTAGTATCACACATAATATCAGCTGCACTTCATTCTCTAAGTCCTCTGAAGCAAACTTATTCTAGAATTACAATACTCTTACTTTTCTCCCCACTCTTGTCAGTAGTTTTAACAGAAACCCCTTGTTCCACCAAGAAGAAATCACCATTCACATAAATCCTTATGTAAGTATTTCCTAGTTACTGATAGCTGATGAGTTAGTCATTAAATAATTCCTGTCAAAAAGAAAAAAAACCACAACGCGAAAAATATCATCAAAGAAAATAAATTAAAAACTTACATTTGGGCCAGATCATATCTTTTATAGTTTGGACAGATTTCCTGTCCTAAGTTAGAGTACAAAACATAATTTCGTTTGTTTTATTGTCAAGATATTGTTTCAGAAATGCATATTGACATATTTACCTGAAATAAGTGTGTAAAACAAGAAAATAATTTGATCTGGCCACACCTGATTTGCTTCAAGCACCAGGCCAAATCAACCCTTGAAATAGTTCAACAGCAAAGACATTACAGCATTTGTTGAGTCTGGCATTAACCTTCACAATAATGGTGGTGTTAAATTTCTTCGTCATATATAAAACACCTTTTTCATTTACAATAATGATTTCACAATGAGCACAAAAACAATTAAGCCCATTTGCACTAGACACAATTAGTTCCATGAGTATCCCAAGTTCTGTTCATGTATTCAAAGCACTAATTAATTCCTTTTGCAAATGGTCCAAGGACAATTTTTTTCACATAAATTACCTTTTCTTATTTACATATTATGTTTAACAACAACAAAAACAAAAGCCCTAAACACAAAAATCATTCTTACTCCTCTCTAAAAGATGTGCAGAAGTATCATATTTGTCTGACAACTTGTTCAACATGTATTTTTACAAATACCTTCCACTTCAATAGATGCAGAGATGGGAAAAGAAACAGGAACAGTAAAAAGGGACTAATGTTGTGCTCCAGATTTCCCATTAGACAGGGTTACTCAAGTTACTGTCAAAACATTTTTCTCATATTTTTGGTTGAAGAAAATTCCATGTGAAAGAAAATGTCTGATCAACCCATATTCTTTAGTTATAAAATCTAATCCACAACATGTATTTTATGACTTTTTCTTTATTTTCTAGTATCAAAATACAGGGTTTTACCTCGACTTTCAAAACTAGGGGTCCAGAGGACCCTCAATTAGTAATTTCAAGGGTCCTCACAGGAAATATGAAGGTCCTGTAAAGTATTGAAATGGTTAACTGTACTGTAAGACTTAATCAATTCTTTAATTACAGGAACTTTATAATTCTTGTCAAGAATTTGGTACACTGAATATTATAGTGCGTCCCTCGGAATGCACTTTATATATTTTTGGACATCCATTCTATACATTTGTGTGTACTTGATGCAGATTTCTATGTGAAGTAAAACCCTAATAAAATACATCATGGTGTTCAGTATTCATTCCTTTAGTCTTGCCAAGTTCTGTTAAGTCTGTGACTTAATCAAGTAGTCCAAATCCAGTAAAAACTAATTCAGTCTGGGAGGCTCAGTTGATAGATTAACCGTTATTAGCAGCAACATCTACTGAAAATGATGCTGAGTCAAGTTCTGGCTAGTAGATTCACAAGTTTGGGTCGCAGGTTGATTATGTAGGGCATTTTCCTTTGCATGCTGTCTTAGCCTTTCAGGTGTCTCCATTGTCACTTCCTGGGTTTGAATACTCCACATCAGTCCATCACATGTAATTACATACTACTTATTTTAGTGACTAAAGAGATATGCTTCACTAAGCAGTTGTATGTATTCACAGACAATGAAATAACATACTGTATACAAACACTTGCAGTAACGATGATAATTGTACATGCTCATATACATCTCACAAAACAAAAAAATAACCATCTTTCAGCGACAGAAACTAACAGTTTTAGTCCACTAGTCCTTATAATGATACATATAGCAAAGCCTTTAAAAAGGGCAAATTTCTACAAGTCCTTATGACACCTTAACTATTGGGCAGTTTGGCAAGGACTACAGGACTAGCACCATTTTGTAATGCTGCCTTTTTGGATTGAAAGGTCCATTCTAATATATTTTGGTACTGAAATAATCTAAACAAAAATTGTTTTTGTTGCACTGCAATAACATGACACTGTCAAGGGTAGAATACTTGTGTCAGAGAGCTGTTTGTATTGATTAATATTAGTCTCATAATCTAAAACTTATTCATGTAAATAAATAAAAAACAAAAATTGTATCAACAATCTTACCACAAAAAACTGAAGTGAAAACGATTAGGCCTAACCAATAGGTGTCTCGTTAAACAGAAGGGCCATCTTTAAAATTCAAGAAAGTAAACAATCTTCAATCAAAAACCAAATCAAAATGCTTCTACCACGTGAGTATTTTGGGGGTTTTCTCCAGAAAATGAGAACCTTGTTTAAAAGGCATATTCAAGAAAAATATACTGAATGTTTTTCAACAATTGACCTCACCTTATTGTGCACTGCACGTCAGAATATTGCTCAAGAAATTTTTTTGGTTCCTGAATTGGTTCCCTTTTTGAAATCCTCTGAATTGAAATCTTCCCTCAGAAATGCAGAGCACAACAAGTATAGTACTACAGTTAAACAAAACAGAGAACAAAAAGGGGAGATAATTACAAGTGACTGCATAATTGACTTCAACCTTGACCTTGTAGCAGAATACCTTCATGATGAAAAATTTGAAACAAGATAAATGTTTCATTTACATCACTATTTTGGCATCAATGACGATTAAAATGGAAAGAAAACGAGAAGGATATTACCGTCCAGTAAAAACCTAGTTTTCTTATAATAAAAGAGACATTACAAGAGTTATAAAAACATTGTGTGACAACTTCACCACATAACTTCACATATTAGAATAGTAGCTGTCTCCTTTAGGAACTGGACAGAGAGATGGACAGAAAACAATTTTTGTGAAACCTGAGATGATGTCATCAGGTTATCCTTTCATATTCAGCAGTTGAGTCTTCGTTTACCGCTGGAACAGCCCCCGTCCTTTATATGGCTAGACCCAAGAAGAGGGTTTGTTGAGAACTTTTAACATATGCCTCCAGACGTCCGTTTGCAAACCACCTAAATCAGATCTATTTTTCAACATGTTAAAATGTGCACTTGGCACCATGTCCAGTCCTGACTTAAATTACAACAAATTCATTTCACCCAAATCATATCATTCCTGTATTCATAGCACTGCAAGCTGATTGATAAAAATACCATACAAACACTTTGTTGCCCATGGCAATCCGTCTCCAATCTAAACAATTTTCTTTTGTTCTCACTTTATGGTTTGGCAGACTGCAAAATGATGAGTTTTAACAAAAATTATACCATAAAAAAATTTGAATGAATTTTTAAACATTTGTAATAACTTAATTTCCATACACTGAAATACATTTTCACATAAATGTTTATGCATTGAAAGATGTAAGCTATCATGCCATTCTTAGTTGCTGACACTATGTTCATGAGAAATCATGAACAAGAGAAAACTTGAAAGTATTGTCTTACCAAAATGTACAAGGTCTATTATTAAGAAGCCTGTTTTGACTCATCGGTAGCACTTACTGTCCATACACCCATCGGTCCACAGTGCATAGGCACCATACGAGAGACCCTAGCTGATGAATACATCAATTATTTACATAGTATCAGCTGAGAGACTACTAGACTCACAATCACTCAAGCTCCATAAACGCACACTGCACCACTTCCTTCTCGCATGGGATGTCATTAGAAAAAGTTTAGTTTCAAACACACCACAGAAAGGGCTTCCCCATTCACCAATGTATGGATGCATCACAAATCTAGATCTGGTGATACAATACACAATACACCCACCCATGGATCGAGTCCTTGTTAAATTCAGTATTGCATTTTACAAGTCACATTTACAAAGTTTTACATAAACCTAGCCTGGTAACTTCTCATGCTAGCATTATTTTCCTGCTGAAAATGAAACCAAATGCTTAATCAGACTGTAATACTAATACTATACTGCTATCAGGACAAGCCTGAATTTACCTGTCATGTGACAAACCTCAGTTCAGGGGACCATACTGAACATGGAGAATTTCATGCAAAAACTGAGCAAATAAAGTATCAGGACTCAAGTATTGCGACATGTATTGAATCATGAGGTAGGCACCTCACACAACTCTGACTGTAAACAACATCCAAGGAAGCAATCATTCAATATGTGTGAATACTAATTCCAACTTAGCCTAGATGTGAATTGTTTTGCCAAACATAATCTTGGATCAGGTGTGTGATCCATTTCTCTCATAATTGCATATATTTTCATACAAATAGGACACATAGTTTTGGGAGATGTGTTATTTTTACCTACACTCAGCATGAAATGCTTGTTATTTCTGGAATCGTGACATTAAAACAATGCTTTCTGCTTCTTTCACATCATGGAAAAGCTGAGTGAACAATTGTCCCATCTTCTTTGACATGGCAAGTGTTTCCTGACTGTTGTATGCAACATCACTACTGTGCAATCAGTCATACTGTGGGCACCTGAAATATCCGTACCCTTCAATATCAGTTGTTAAAGTATGACATTGACTATAATGATGACAATAATACTGAAATATTACTTCTGAATGACATCCCATCCCTGAAAATATGTCAGCATATCATACCAGCAACTCTTGCCAACATCAGATTATACACTGTATGTATGTACACTTCAACTGGCAGGTCCGACTAAGTTGACACAAAGTGTTATCAAGGCGGTCACAATCTTCTGATATTTTCCTGTGAACTGCTAATGTTAGCTTGGCTTGGACTAATAAATATTTTTTCAATCAACTGCTGTTCAGCAAGTTGCTCAAATTAGATATGCCCATTCTTGTCATGATTTCACATAAAAAATCCTCACAAAAAGTAAATACCGGACAGGTAAAGTATTAATTTTGAGCTTGTTTGTGTTAATTATTCATGTACTTTTTGAAAAGGTCAACATTAGCATGCTGCTGATTATTGATTGCTGTTTCACCTTTTTCCTGATTAATCCCTGCCATGCCATAACATAACCATATTAACCAATAAATTTGATTTTCATCAATGATGGCAACATGACTCTTCATTAGCTCAGGTCTATAGTGATCCTCAGTAGCCCAGGGTGCCGTTGTACAAAACAACCTTAGTGTTATATGACTGTCGTAAGTCTATGTTAAGATATGGGTGTTACGATTGCTTTGTACAACGTCACCTTGGTCTATAGTGTTTCTCAGGACTATAGTGCTCCTCCAGTAGCCCAGGACTATCGTTTTCCTCAGTAACCCAGGTCTATGATGTTCCTCAGTAGCCCAGGACTATAATGTTCCTCAGTAGCCAAGGACTATAGTGTTCTTCAGTAACCCAGGTCTATAATGTTCCTCAGTAGCCCAGGACTATAATGTTCCTCAATAGCCCAGGACTATAGTGTTCCTCAGTAGCCCAGGTCTATAATGTTCTCCTCAGTAGCCCAGGACTATAGTGTTCCTCAGTAGCCCAGGTCTATAATGTTCCTCAGTAGCCCAGGACAATAGTGTTCTTCAGTAGCCCAGAACTATTGTCTCAGTAGCCCAGGACTATGGCGTTCTTCAGTAGCCAAGGACTATTGTTTTCCTCAGTAACCCAGGACTATTGTGTCTCAGTAGCCCCGGTCTATAGTGTTCCTCAGTCGCCCAGGTCTATAGTGTCCCTCAGCTAGCCTATCTCAGTGTATATGCACAAAGTGGCCTTTGATTGTAATGTTCCCATGTCTATAGGGGTGTGACTTACCAGTGACTATCTATGACTTGACATCAGCCACCTGTTAAGTCCAATGCTTCTATGTATATAAACTGTGCAGCACCTAACATGCTGACATTCAGTCTTGCCATTTCTCAGATTTGATGCATACATACACATATTTACAATTACGCCTGTACTCCTGAGGCGAGGTAATTACATGCTCTTCTGGAGAGTCAAGGTCATGTACAGGACTTGAAAACCGGCTGCAAACTGTTCCTAGATACCAGTGACTGGTGATGAAATAACTCTGATAACACAGACTCAACCATACAAAAGAAACGAAATTCACAAAATGTTAATTTGTGTTCATTCCACTTTTAGATCTTATCACCTTGAGACGATCATATAAGCACCAATGACAATCCGACAATCCATAGAAATAGTCATAAAATCATGTGTTCATAAAGTCAAACAAGTCTCCAAGCAAATGGCTATCTGTTCTGGAAACGCACCAAGGTGCCGGTGAAGATCCCCAGTTCCGTTGCCAACTCTCTGTTGTGACACAAGGATCCAATATTTTCATGTGTGCTTTCCAAACCATTGAACAGTAGCTTCACCCACTTCACAAGTTAGAGTGTATTTGGTCTCATGTAACACAGGGTAATTTCTTGTCCTCGACATCAAAGTCCAACACAAGCAGTTTAGTCTCCTCTGTGCCATTGCGACTGCCTACAGCACAAACAAGTTTTGTGTTGTTGCAGCGAAGTCGCCAAACTACTCCCCCACTGCCACCACTGTCGAGGGCTACAAGGTTCCGGAGAAAGTCGCCATGTTTTAAGTCCCAGATTTTAACTGTCCCATCGTCAGAGGAAGTTATCACAAATTTCTTATTGAACTGGAGACAGGTTACAGCACTTTGATGTTTGTTTGGCCCTGGCAAAAGAAAAGACAACATTTCAGCCACTTGATATGTACTCTGTCATATGTCCTTGCAAGACTCACAACTCAAGGTTACAGCGCATGGAGTTAGAAAGGTGTAACTCTGCTTTGAACAGTATTTCAGTCATATCACACCTTGTCAGCTCCAAGTGGGAGTAAAGCCTGAAGTGATGTAGGTCTTCGACACTGACCACTTTACTAGACCCATGAGCACAGGTTGCTGCTGACAGATCAAGGATCATTATTGGGGCAAATTTGAGATTCAAATCACTGACCAAGGGCTCCTAGCAGACTTGGGAGGCAACACTGCAGAGCGAATTGCAGCTCCTCAGACAATGGGCTAATTACAGCTCCACCTTACAGCTCATGCTATCAAATGAGTCATATCAGACACATGGGCCTTGGTTGATGCATTTCATCAATTCCAATTGCGCTGATCGATGTTCATGATATCAATCACTGGATTGTCTGGTTCAGACTCGATTATTTACAGACAGCCGTCATATAGCTGGAATACTGCTGTGTGCGGCGTTAAAAACCAACCAACCAACCAACCAAGACACAGGGGCAAAAACTCCAATCTTAAAATAAAACTAACTGGATTTTACATGCTGCAAATCAGACACACTTCAGTTTCAGTTCAAATTCCTCCATTTGGAAGTCAAATATTTTTCTTCATTCAGATGCCATAATGAAGTCAAGTTTGAGAAACCTGTTGAAGTTTAACATATAGATGAAATGTGTCCATTTAACAACACAGTAACAACACTTCAACAGAACATTATCTTATGCCATACAGAATTGGTACAAAATTGCTCAGCAGATGTGAGAAACAGCAGTAAAAGCTTGTTCCTCTGTGTACCTTGTAGTGTCTGCAAGCACTGGCCAGTGGTGATGTCCCAGACCTTGACCGTAGAGTCTGCGTTGCCCGACACCAGTATGTTGTCCTTCAGCTCTAGACCACTGGTCAGTGATTGGTGACCGATGAGGGTGTGTAGACAGTTGCCCGTCTCTACGTCCCACACTCTGATGGACGTATCCAGCGATCCGCTCACTACATGGACGCCGTCAAACTGGAACCAGAATGATAACATCCGCATCAAGGACACAAACCCACAGGCAAGAAAAAACACATTGTAAAGTAACTCGGTCAAAGTTTAGACATCAGTCAATACAGTCACACAAATGTTTTGTACTTTCAAAATATTTCATGACGATACAAAACCCTGTTGTTTGTTTAATCTGTTAATTAAGGGTGCATCAGGAATGTGTCTCATTCTGGCCCCCAACTGAATTAACTGGTAAAAATGGAATGTCTAGTTCAAAATGGAGCTAGAGTGGGTCGATGCCTGCTTGTTGATGAACCAAACGACCGTGTGTTGTCCCTGGTGATAGTCAGTCTGGCGTTGGTCAATTGATGAGCTCAATGTTGTACTGCCAGAAGCACGGCTTCCACTTCCAGGTTGTTAATATGCCACTGTGTTTGTCTTGAGACCAGGGTCCACTTGCACAAAACAATCTTAGTTACAATTGATCTTAAGCACCTACAATCAACTTTACAATCACCATACAATTGTCCTATTCCACTTTCACAAACCGATCTAAGCGCAACTGTAAGATCATGATCTTACCTAAGATTGAAATCTTCAAAAAGGTACAAAAATCTTAAACTCAACTCCTATCTACAGTTGTCTGCAAACATGCAATGCTTGCTGCACATACAATAAGTGGAACCAGTAACGACACACAAACAATCCCTCCCAGGAAATAAGAATTATGAATAATGTTTCGAGAAAGCAGTTGTTTAATATATATTCACTGGGTATCAATTATATTGATATTATCATTATTTTTAAAAAGTATGAATTTTAATTTTGCTATTTATGGGATATTTTACACAAATTTCAAATGTCTCATCATGTGTATTGTTGAATTTTCCTGTTCGGAATATTCTATAATAATACGTTACCACTTGTTATACCGAGGCTGTTGTCTCCCACAACTGCTCTTATAGCGAAATCTGCCACAGAGATCTCAATTACCTCATGTAGCACGTGCCTAGCCACCTATGCTGTCATGTGACACCCTTCACTCTTGTCTCTAGCGAGAGCAAGTGCTCGGGGGACGGTCGGGTGGGCATCAGCCAAAGCGGTATCGTATTACTATAGAATATTCTGAATAGGAAAATTCTACAAATTACATTAAGTAATACGTTACCACTTGTTATACCGAGGCTGATTACCACAGTAGGCGGTGGGGAGCACCTACAACCCGAACCTGAGTGCTCATGTTCCTTTCCGACCAGCGGAAGTAAACAACAAGGCGGAAGCGCTCGATGCACATGCTCCCAGCTTGGCCTTACCATATAGGAATACCAAAGCACTGTCAAGCGCATACCGTAAGGGTCAATCGTCTTGCCAAACGATTGGTGACTCCAAACGGCCTCACTGGATAGGTATTTTGTCGCTGCAGCGGAAGAAAACATAGTATCCGTGTGAGCTAAATCTTAGGGAAATTAATTTCATTCGGACCGTTTATCCCAAGAACAAGCCTACTTAAGCGTATGTAATAGGCGCGTAACCTAAATTCAATATTTGAAAACATGCATTACAAGGTTGCAATACATGACAGACAATTAAGTACATAATTGTCAACTCAAATAAAGAAACACACAGAAAGCCGCACTCACCTGTGGATGAGCGCGCTGGCTTGCGGGACCCTCACTCCCGTACCCACGGCTGTGGGAACATTGGAGTCGACCCAGATTGACCACCGTGCCAGGTCTGACGCCTGAGGAGTTGGGAATTGCGCTGACGCACCCCCTAAATGACCGATTGTGCCGCGATCAGCGGCCCAAGACGGAGCACACCCTCCACGTCTTCATCAAAGACCTTTCTGAGGTAATGATTGGCAAAAACCGAGTCAGAACGCCAGTAACAACCTCGCAATATTCTGTGAACAGAGATACTGGAGTGTAGGGCAAATATAGCCTCTCGCGCCCTGATCTCGTGCGGGTTTGACCCCGCAACCGGTAACCTCCGAGACCGGTACGCCAGATTGATGACAGAACGAAGCCATAACGCAATCGAGTTGTGAGTTATGTCAGCAGTCCGATTAGGGTTACATGATATGAACAGACGGTCACGCCCTTGTCTGCGTTCATTCGAGGCCTTAAGATAATACTTAAGGGCCCTAACCGGACACAGAGATTTGTCCTCAGTATCAGCAGGATGTAAGATTTCCTTGAGTGATCTTACAGTGAATTCTCTCTCCGTTTGGCCAAATTTCTGATTCTTAGCGACGAAGCCTATTGAGCAGGCCCAGGCGGACTGCTCCTTTGTCGCCCCTATCGAATCGTACTTTGGTGACATCGAGTGACATCTCAGACACACGTGCCGCCGTGGCAAAGGAGAGGAGAAATGCTGTTTTCAAAGTAACATGCCGAAACAAAGCATTTTTCAAGGGTTCATACGGAGCTTCTGTAAGCGATTTCAACACCAGGGAAAGATCCCAGGCAGGAGCCTGAAGGCGACCTTTCTTAAGAGCTTCCTGTTTGAAACCCTTGATAATACCCCGAATCACTGGCTCTTTTGAGTGACTGGTACCAATAGCAACGTCCCGTACCGTAGCAACGGAGGAGACATAGTTGGCAATGGAACACCCGGAGAGTTTCCAGGTCTCTCGTAAGTGAGACATGAAACAAGCAATGTCCTGCACAGATACCTTATCTGTCGAATGAATGTGATGTTTACAACACCACCTCGTGAAAATAGCCCAACGTGCATTATACACCTTCTGGGTAGAATCAAGATGCATACTAACGTATGCCCGAGACGCCCGACGAGAAAAACCTTTACTCCTCAGACGCTCGGTGACAACATCAACGCGGGCAGACTGATCTGCCCTGCGTTTGGATGAAGCTGACGGGTGTGAGGGTGGATCAGGAGATCCGGTCTCACAGGCAGTGGAAGTGGCGACTGCGTGACCTGGGCCAGCAAGTCGGGGTACCACGATCTGTTCGGCCACATGGGCGCGATCAGTAACATTCGACAGCCAACTCCTCGGCTTAGAATGAGTGGTATTAACGCTGTCGGCGGGTAAGCATAAGCGTCCATGCCCGTCCAGTCTAACGCGAGAGCATCGTGATCGATGGCCCTCGGGTCCAGAACGGGAGTTGATTGTTGAACCTGGTTGCGACCATCGGACGACCCAAACGTTCGCACAGCCATTGAAAAACTACTGGGTTGAGCATCCACTCTGTGGGGCTCGGATCCCGAGGCCTCGACAGAGCGTCGGCCAGTACGTTCCGCACACCGGGGATGTGACGGGCGCGTACCTGGCACGGGACACTTTCCACCAGAACTTAAAACTCGAACGTGAGATCAAGTAGCGAGTGACTGTGTGTTCCCTGCAGTTTGTTCACATAAGACGCTACTGTCGTGTTGTCGGTCGCCAGCATGAGCCGGGCGTCAACGAGACGATGCTTCCAGTGATTGACTACGTTGATCACTGCCTTGAACTCGAGGCAATTGATGTGAAGACCTAGTTCTTCTACGCACCACAGCCCCGAGCTCACCTCCCCTCCAGGTGGGCGCCCCAGCCCACTAGAGAGGCGTCTGTATACAGGTTCAACGTGGCCCAAAAGGGCCGCATAGAGACTCCTGATAAGACGTTTCAAGGGCCCGTCCACCACTCCAGATGCCGGAGCCGATCCGGGAGGGCGACGGTCGCACTGTTCTCCTCCTGTGCTAACAACTGGATTAGTAACCGTTGCAGCGGGCGGAGTTGGAGACGACCCCGATCGGTGCAGTCCTGGGCTGACACAAGTAGCCGTAACAGCTGTTCCCAAAAGTGAACAGTCTGTTGCACCGCTAAGACTTTGGCAATCATCGCCTGAATCTTGTGCCACCAGTCTGGGGGGACAAAGAGGCGATGGGTCACCGTGTCGAAACGACCTCCGATGAACTTCAAGTTCTGCGAGGGGGTTAACTCGCTCTTGGGGAGATTGACAATCAACCTCAATTGCTCCAAGAGCCGAAGAGCGAAATTGAGCTGACGAGACAGCACGTCTGTCATTCAATTTGCTACTAGCGAGTCGTCCAGGTACGCGAAGTACCTGACACCCCTCCTGTGGAGGAACCCCACTATGGGGTTGGTTAACTGGGTGAAAAGCCAGGGAGCGGACGATAGGCCGAATGGGAGTGCAACCCACTCATAATGCCTGCCTTGAAAGACAAACCTGAGATACTTGTGATGGTCCGAGTGAATCGGAACATGCAGATAAGCATCCTTCAGGTCGATCGAAGCGAGCCAGTCGCCCGGCATGATCAGAGCTTTCAGGTCCGCCAAGGTCAACATTCTGAACTTGGGAGGCTTGTGCAGGTAAAACTCGTTGAACAATTTTAGATTGGAACGGGGCAGCGGTGAGTGGCAAAGCCGCTTTGAGATCTAGCCGATAGCCGTACCGGATCGTGTTGACCACCCATGGGTCGTCCAACACTTGTTCCCATTTCTCCCAGTAAGTCTGGAGTCTGGCTCCGACAAGGGAAGGAAAGGGAGGCCTGACAGGCTGCGGCAGGCGCAACTGTCCAGGGCCGAATGACTCGGGTTCGCCTTACAGGCCAACCGAAGCTTGCGCTGTTGGCACATGAACCCTGCAAGTGAGAGTCATTTGGAGGAGCCCTTACCGTCCCGAGACGGCTTAGGCTTCCCCCAGTGTCCCTTCTTCCCCCGAAAGGGCGGCAGGTTTCCCTTACCGGGAACCAAAGGGCAGGGCCTCTTCCCGGAGGAAGAAGACACCGACCCCTTGGACTTCCCGGCCACAGCATCCTGAGGGGCACTCCGTTTAGGGGCACCACCCAGGCGTCTGTGCAGAGATACAACCAGATCCAACGTATGCCGCGAAGCCACGGCAGACGAAGCAGCCTGCTGTTCTTTTAGAACACCAGGGATCCGGTTATTAAACAGGGTCTGCGCAGACCAAGGCTGCGAAAGGAGCACCTCCTGGTTTGCGGCGTCCAACCCAGAGGAGGCAAGGTACGCTTGCCGCCTCAAGAAATGGCATGTGCTGGAAAGAAAGGCCGAAGCCCCGGCAATGTAGTCAAGGGTTGCATTTAAACCGATCAAACAGTTGTAAATGCGCTGGTCTCAGTCCGTGGGGGAACCTTCGACCAGACTGGCCGCCACAGCCAAGTAGGTGTCATGGAGCGCCGAGAGAGGGTGTCCATTTGCTGTAAAGAGGGACTGCAGCAGCAGGTGGGGCACGGACACCCAACCTCTCAACGTGGGCCTCCGCGGTGGGACCTGCCTCGGGGAAGGCCAGGTCATACACCGGGAACGAACCCTTTCTCCATGATGGGGAAGGCAACGGGAGTCCCCGACCGGAGGCCGCCGCGAAGGATTTCTCCAAAGACGGCTTGATCCCGCGCTACAAAGTTGACGCGGGAAAAGCCTTGTCGGTGGGCTCGTTTAAGACCTCGGCGGAACCCACAAAGCCGTGGATTCCCCGGGATACTGGCTGGGGCTTTGGCATGTCCTCAAAGAGGTCATACATCATGGCCACACGGTCCTTAGTTGATAACGGGAGTATCGGCTCGGGGGAAGGACCGGTGACCACGGAAGCCGCTGCCATACCCGTGGACCCCGCGTCCAAACTCGGAGCCAGTTTGGAGTCCACCAGTTGAGACAATAAGGCCGCGACGGAATCCCCGGACAGCCCAAGGGCCGCCAAGGGATCCGCCGCCGTGGAGGTAGTGCCCGCAAGGGGCGCCTGACCGGACGAACCGGCCACCTCCGGGGTGATAGCAGAGCGCGCGTAGCGCCTGTATCGCTCAAAGTCCTCAGGCCCTAGACCCTCGCACTGGGCACACCGGGTGTCCTCACAAGGAACTCTACACCGCGGGCAACGATCGTGAGGATCCCTAGAAGACAGAAACTTCTGACAGACCCCACAGTGCGTGTTCACAGGGGTAGCAGGGGTGCTGGACAAAATGTCTAATTCCATGTCCGACATTGTTCTTTGAACAAAAAACAAAACATGGCTACAACACACACACCAAACATATTCACAAAACGTATATTTTCAGAAAGAAAACAAACGATAATTGCGAATACATAAAATACATATAATAGATATATATATATATATTAATAGGTGATGCAAAAAAAACCAAGATATAACACTATAGGTGGACGGAAGACACGAAGTGCTGACGCCACACCCCGTTAGTAGCAAAAAAGGGCGCGAAAATTTAGGCGGAAAATTTTTCCAAGCGCCGTATAACTGACGCCCCGTAAATTATAGTTTATAGGACTAATAAACAGTAATAATTATCACCAAAGGATAGGCAGGGGCGAAAAACTGGACCGTAGAAGGAACGCAAGTAGAGCAGTCACAAAAACGTCTTGCTAGGGCAAGCGAAGAGACAAGTGTGAAGGGTGTCACATGACAGCATAGGTGGCTAGGCACGTGCTACATGAGGTAATTGAGATCTCTGTGGAAGATTTCGCTATAAGAGCAGTTGTGGGAGACAACAGCCTAGGTTTTAACAAGTGGTAACGTATTACTTAATGTAACTTCCATCTAGAGTATGAACTAAGATTAGCTGCCCTTGATTTATCCAAAAGGTCACGGATATATACAAATCGCTTGGAGATGACTAAGTTTTTTATCCTGCCCTTGATTAGCGAAAAGGTGTGTTGTTTCACACTTCTTTCAGCATTGAGTCGGGCGTGAATAGTACTTTTTGCTATTGACTTGATAGTTATGTGGTTCACTATCGCAATTAACAATATTTCTGACCTTAAATCTGTGGTGCATTCTTCACGTTGTTGAAGTGTAGATTCGAATCATAAAGTTTAACAAAAAGTAGAGTCAATGTTTGAACGTAAAGCAGATTGTTTATGTGAAAAAGACCAAGTCTTGCATGCCGTTTTGTCAAGTCTATTCAAGGACTACAACAATCTTAGCTACTTCCGATCGGTATTGGCGTCGGGGATCTTGCAACACCACTATGCCCCTTCTTGCTGGCTCCTGATGTCAAGTGAGCTAAAAATTAAATCCGAACTGAAAATGGTGTAGAGAGTAGACTGTTGTTGTTAGATAATGTCCACCTACCTGTAGAGAGTAGACTCTGTTCGTGTGTCCCTGTAGAGTGTGTAAGCAGGACTCTGTCTCTGGGTCCCACACACGGACGGTGTAATCGTACGCCCCGCTGACCACTCGGCGGCCATCATACTGGACGCACCTGACAGCTGCAACATGGCCCATCAGCACATGCAGACACTGGCCAGACTCGATGTCCCACACGCGGAGAGTTGCATCACGAGAACCACTCACAACTCTGAAACATTGGACAGATGTGACATTTACAAAATAACCTCCACAAAAGAAGTGCACAATGTGGAATACATCATTTCTCATTCTGCCAAAAGTTTGACAAGAAGGGTTTGATAATGGCAGAAACAATTCCACATTAATATTCAATAACTAGGGAAACATCAATGACACCGTTAACTGATTCTGTAACTTTGGTGGCAATAAGAACAATAGCAACCAAATACAAATATAGAGTACTCAAACGGAATGAAACAGACTTTCTGCATGACAGTAAAACCACTAAGGCTACCCATTCTTCTCTACTGAATGGCCACAACTCTATGCTAGAAGTTTCAGTTTTCAGCTTCAGTTACAGTCCCCTGTTTAAACTCTTCCTGATCACATGGACACCTGTCTGACATTTTATCATGAAGTTCTATCTACATTACTTGCACACTTTTAATAACCGGTACATCAGAAAGGGTGGTGCAATTTATATACAAGAATGTGTGTACTACTCACTTGCTCCCACACAGACTCATGCACCTGACAGTGGACGTATGACCATAGAGCGTGTGTTTACACACACCCGTCTCAGCATTCCACACCTTGAGCGTACGGTCAGTTGAGCCGCTTATGACGGTCAGACCGGACATCTGGGATGACCACACCCCTCCAGTATGACCCACTAGTGTACGCAGGCACTGAAACAAGGACACACAAAGCATGATAATCAGCACCACTCAAATGGAGTGAGCTCAGTTCTATGCAGTGATATTTTCAGTCATAAAATAATGTGTGCTGTACTGAGAGTCTTAAAACAATTTGATCTCACATGGCTGTTTAGTATGGTCTGACTGATGTTTGAATCTAAAGTAAAGTTTGGTCCAGGTGGGATATCTAGAAGTCCTGAAACAATAACAAGAAGCCTGACAGGTATTTAGAAGATGGTACCTCAGGAAAACATGAAAACTTTTCTGGATAACAACTTCTTTATCACTCTGTGCCCAAAACCTTTGAGTCTGAACTTGCACTTTGATATTATTTTCTATACATTTTCGTCGTAGAATATGGACTAGTCCAACAAGTCTAACTAGACAAGCAGACATTTTACAAGACATGGGCTTAGGACAAGTGGATAAAGTCGCAATCTGCATTAATGTTTCTCAGGATAATTCAGTGCTACTTTTCATATTGTAGAAGTACCTGTCAGCAAACATATTTGGACTTTATTCCTAGTTCTTGCATGTAAACTCAACCAGGGAGTGGAAAGGATTCTTCATCAATTGCAGTTGCACGTGTAGTGAGCTGAGTTACAGCATTTAGTGGACAACTGCTAAGAACAGTATTTATATAATGTGACAACCATCAGTTTATGTGGGACGAGAAACAGACACTCAGTTGTGGTCTACTACAAAAGCTTTAAGCTAACACCCGTGACAGTGGATCAAGGATTGCTAAATGCAAGGATAAGCATCCAAGCAAGCGATGAACAAAAACCACAGAAAACAGTACCGTAGCTAGGGGAGACAACTCTTCATAGCTAGTTGTGTCTTGGATGACCAGGCAATCCATGACACGTCTCAAAGAAAGAACAATATGAGTTGCCAGCAGGTGAGATGTGTTCTAACCACCTGGTCACAATAGTACATCAAGCAAATGTTTGTGGAGATTTATTAAGTCTACTTGCATAGCTGCACCTTTCTGCAGAGCACAATGCAGTTTTGACCAGAAAAACTAGTGGCTGAGAGCACGATGATCCACACTGGCCACATATGATGACAATAAAATGGGAAACTGGGTACTTTTCGTACCATGAATTCTCATGGGCTAAAGTGACAACACACAACCACTTACAGCTTAGTCAGCTGTTACAACAACCATGTGCTACTTGGGGCCTATTCCGCAACCCAAACCATACTGTCTAATTTACAATGACACAACACCTTCCTGTTAGGCAGGCACTCACCTTGCCAGATATAGCAGACCATACTTTGAGTGTGTTGTCGTCTGAGCCGCTGACAATACGAGTTCCGCAGAATTCAAGGCAAGTGATCACATGATCATCATGGCCTTTCAATACCTGAAACCAAGCGTATCACATGATCATGTATTGTATATCTCAGAGCAATAGACAAATATGTAACATATACCTTTATTCATTGTGTGACAGACCGCCTCCATGGTCTAGTGGTAGAGCATCTGCCCGAAGAGCAGAAGATCGGGGGTTAATACCAAAAAATGTTAAAAGATGTTAAAAGATGTTAAAAGATGGTACTTGTTGTCACCCTGTCTGGCGCTTGACATTTAGAAGCTAAAACAATAGCTGGTCGTCTCAGAGTCAGTATAATGTGTCTGAGTGGGGTTTTCATGTTAAACTGCGCCATTGTATCTCAGTGGGCTCTGGACTAGTACAAGCAGCCCCACACAGACACACAGACACCCCCACACACACCATTCTGAACAGATAGCCATCATGTAAGGGTTATAGATAGAATTATGTTTGCTGTACCTTTGGAGGTCTTATAGCACCGGTGCGCCAATTTTGTTCGATTTGATACTGCCTCATATAGAGAGCCTTCCATGGACTACGATGTGCTCTTGGCTTCTTGAACTTGTGACTGCCATAAACCAGACTCTCATCCACAGACTCTTCCCGACACTTCTCTCGCCACAGGAGGTTGTCCTCTGCCAGGATCCGCCAGTACCGACAGGTTTGAGCAGCTCTCAGTAGATCCTTTGGCTCAAGGAACGATAATACATACAGAGCCAGCTAAAACACAAACAAAACACTATGACAGCACATTGAAATTTATTTTCCTATTAAAGGGACTGCCAAGTTAATATGCTAAATATTGATAGCCTCAGAAATATGATGGATCTCAAATCTGTGAAGTTTGCCATCCTGATGTCACTTCTGTTTTAGGTTTATTAAATAACGCCACACTCAACAATATTCCAGCTACATGAAGGCGATCTGTAAATAATCCGAGTCCGGACCAGAAAATCCAGTCATGATCTTCCCGCAGCAAGGGAGTAAACTGACCGTAAAAGTCCAGTTTCCACCCTTGCCAACTAGGTTGGGATAATGGAGTCATATTTTGGTGGACTAACCAGTCTATACATAGACCCATCATAATCGAATAATGAAATCGACATCAGGTTCATAAACTGCCATGCAGATTTTGATCCTGTTAACGCCTCTTACGACAAGCATGTGTTGCTGAAGCCCAATGCTAAACCGCATCTTAAAGGGACGACGTCACTTCTGAGAGAACAATATATACATTTCCACTGATACAATGAACAAAGTAATTTTAATTCCTGGGGATTTATCTGGTTTCTTTCTGTCCTATTTTAGGATATCTTTTACTTTCCTATGGGATATTTTTGTTATTGGATTTTATGAGTACCGGTAAATATCCGATATTTGGATTTCAAACATACACAAAATAACACTGTGAAAAGTAATTTCGTAAAAATGTCAAAAGTAGCGCTATTTAACCTAATTTTCATAGGTTGTTTTTCCGTAATTTTGCATTGTCTAAAATGCAAGGATACAAGGGATGAAGCTTGGACACCTGTACAAAAAGTTCCACCCAAAACACATTTTAGTAAACAGAGTCACCTAAACTAACAGCGGCCTGAAATCCCTTATATATCCAGTGATAACATAAAATGTTACATTCAATTCACATCCCCTGCTACATTTCGACCATAAACATATTACTTTATATTGATATTTATGGTAATCAGATGTTGGTACATGGTATTGCAGTGCACTGGTTCTCTCTGCTTCTCCTTCAACTCAACCATGTGTATGGTGTTTTCCTCAACAAGTTCTAAGAGTGTCAACCTTTCTATCAATAGTTTCCGTTTGTTTGTTTGTTGTTTAATGCCACACTCATAAATATTCAAGCTATATATCTGTAGATAATCGAGTCTGGACCAGACAATCCAGTGATTGACATCATGAGCATCGATTCACGCAATTGGGATACAATGACATGCATCAACCTAGTCAGCGAGACTGATCACCCGACCCCGTTAGTCGCCTCTTACGACAACAAGCATAGTCACCTTTTACGGCAAGCTGGGGGTTGCTGCAGACCTATTCTACCAAGGATCTCTACGGGTCCAAAAGTACAGATCTTACCTCTTTTGGCAGTAGTGATATGAAGTCCCTCTGAAACTGGGGCTCAATGACCTGCATCATGTGGCGCACCTGAGTTGGCTCACAGATGGCTATCAGCTCATCCACAGCCATCAGCCGCTCTGCATTGCTCCATGCCTGCAGGGAGACACCACATACAACATGTCCATGCAACGTCAACGTCAGTCTCAAACACAGCACCAACATCACCAACACTAGGGCACAAGCACTATACATTTTGATTTCTTTTACTGTTACTGCTTGTCTGGTGCAAAAAACGAAATATATCACAAACAGAAAATATACTTATATACTAATATAACACATCTTCACAGGAAGTATGAATAAGCAAAGAACAATAGGATTATTCCTGACAACAGTTGTCTTGTAAATCATTACTTAATAAACTAAATTCTTTTGACAGCTATTCAAATCAACCCATCTGCATTTATTACTGGAGCTTAAGGATTAAAGTATTGACAACAAAGTGTTAACAGAGGGCCGCTGCTCGTACCTGGAATGTCTGCAGCCACTCTGCCAGCTTGGGAGGGGGGTTCTCCTTGGAGGGGATTCTCTGTCTGGAGATGGCTACAGTTGGACGTGTGGACAACTTCCAACTGGTGAATGCACTGTTTAAACAAGAAATAGCAGTGGTCATAAAAAATATTTTGGACATCGTTCTTGGCTAGAGAAGACATGGAAAAGTGAAGAAAATATAAACAGATCTATCATGAGTAAGCATATCTCTTTCTTGTTAGTGCCATTCTTAACTGATTCCAGGTACTGTGTAATACAGGACAGACAACAGAACAGTTTTCACGCATCAGTACAGCTGGGGTATAAAGCAGGAAGTGAAATGACGCAGCCGTAGAAGTAATGTCAGCTTGGTAAGGTGCTGACAGAATAAGAATCATTGATAATCATGACACGTCTGAAACAAGCCATCTTCCCAAGGCAAGAGAGTTAACTAATTACAAAAGACCTGTTTCCACCCTTGCCGAACTAGGCTGGTATTATGGAGTTACATTTTGACTGGACTCGCGTGTCTATGCATAGTCCAATCAAAATTGTGCAAAGAAATCGAAATCCGGTTCGTAAACTGTGATGCAGATTTCGGTCTATTGCAGGATTTGCAAAGCATGTGCACCGCAAACTCGTTGTCAACAGATATATTCCAAATCTTTTCATGTTTTTAATCAAGGTGTTCACGTGATTTGATACATTTTATGATGTAAGACCCGTTTTATCACAATATAGATCTTGATTATGGATCAGATCGTCCTGACTGGGTGCCGCCATTTTGTTTGAAGCAAATGCAAGTCATGCGAGAATCTGATTGGTCCATAGGAGAGGCTTAGAAGGGACATAACTCGTAATAGCCACTGGTGGGGCTACGATCGAGCCCAGGAATTCCAGCAAAGTTTGGCAAGGGTGGGAACTGGACTTTTAAAGTCAGCTAACTCTCTTGCCTTGGGAAGATGGAAACAAGCTGAGCTTGGCACAGCCAAGATATGCAAGTACAGCAAATTATGGACCTTAGGCTACTAGACCACATATTCCGTGGTCAGTTTAAAAGTTGCTCTTATTGACTGGCTCCTCAACTGACCTGTGTCCATCTCCAATGCCACAGAACTTCTTACTGGGTGAGGCACCATCATCCTTACTACTGCCTGGTTTCCTCTTCTTCACCTGAAGCAGTAATAGTTATTTTAACTACAATGGCAGTACAAATTTCTACAGAATAGCCGCCAGGGACAGAATTATTTGTGGTGGGGATAATCAACTCTATGTATTTGATCATTTGGAAACCCAGTTTTCATTGTTACAGTTTTAAAAGTTGTCACCGACAACCAACCGGCGGACCACTTCTTCTGCTGCACTTGGGATATTTGAAAAGTACATAATGATTTAATTGATATCTATAAAGATTACAATAAACTGCATTACACTGCCAAATGGAGGCTGATGTCTCTAAAAAGTTACCCAAATTCAGCAGCAAATACAGCTGTGTTAACCAGACATGCTGCCAGGACTGGCAACAGTAGCTAGTCTGCACCAAGAGCACTAGATTACCTCAAAAAGATATTATATTCAACTCACAATCTTCACAGGTTTATGAAACAATCAATGTCTTGGTAGTTTTGGATCAGTTGGTTGTGTATATATATATATATATATATATACAGACCTGTAGTACACTTGCATCATGACAAATATTTCATACGACAGAGTTAGAGTTGTAACGATACAATGGGGTCATGATACAATACATATCCCGATACTACTGGTGTGATACGATTCATATCCCGATACAGCACTTGTATTTCATAAGTTGATATGCTTTCTTTTTGCAGGTGAACCACAACCCTGAATCATATGTTTTAAATTTCAGAGATATGGCAGAAACATATAGACTAGATTTTATTATACATATTATTAATGTGCTTTTTACTCAGATATAACTTGCAATGTAATGTATCGTATGTATCGCGATACAGGGTTATCAATGTTATCAATGTATTGTACGGTGGGCCTCTTATTGCGATACAATACTGTATTGCTGTATCGTTACACCACTAGAGTCCAGATAAAGAGACATGAGAATGCTATGCAGATGTTCAAGGATGTAGCACAGCTCCTGCTTCAGAGTCTGACTTACAGTGTGTTTACAGCAGCAGCCTGTGGTCTCTGTCAGCCGATGGCGACAGTGACAGTCTGAGTGCACCTGCTGGCAGTCTTCCCCATCCTCATCCTCACTGTCCTCCTCATCCCGGTTGTCCTCACTGTCCCGCTCCTCGTCCTCCTCCTCGCTACTGCTGCTGTCATCATCATGGTCGTTGTCAGGCCTCACATGCTCAGAGTTTTCTTCCTGTGATGCCAGTTCCATGTTGTCTTCCACGCAGTCCCATGGCGTGTCAGTGTCACCCTGTAGGCAGGTCATACAGGGTCATGAAGTTAGCAGACAGGATTGCTCACCCAGTTGTGGGACTGGCCGCTATGTTGCTGATATTATAACCCAACATTGAGGCTGGTGTGTAACTTGCATTCTGATTGGTACATTAGACCTAGTACCGCAGACAATCAAATAGGCTAAAGGAAATCAAGGGCAGGTAATTTGAGATTGCGAGAACCATGGGGATGGGTATCGTGGTTAGCATAGGTTTACCGAAATGCTAGCCCTGGAGATATGGAGGATGACTGAGATAATCATTATCATTTTCTCAGATTTACAGTACTCTGTGATGTAACATTATAACAGTTTTCTAATCACAAAGGTAGCACTTGCTCTGAGGTAAGTGAGTCACATATTCATGTCTCATTCAAAATTGTCAGTGTTGCAATGGCATTTTTTTAACTTGACTGGTGGGCAGGTAGGAATTAATTTCAACTATCCCAAAAGAAATGTTACCAGACATGGGACAGCATTATTTAGGACAGTGGACCTGACTCTGTACCATCATTCAAAAAGAGCAGGGATCAGACCTGCTCCTGCTCTTTCCCAGAGGTTTGTCTGGTTAAGGTCACACAGAAGCATGCAAATTTCGACCCCCTACTGTATAAACTTCTAGGTCTTATGTCTGTAATATCTCAACCACTTGAGCTTTAGGCTCATATCTGAAGAACTCTAAAACAGCCTAGTCTCTTTATTATCCAACAACCATTATGACAGTAGTGTTATCAGTTATGTCAAATCTGACTTCCTAAGGAATGCAATACATTGAATTGACCAAAGTGTGTTTTCCTACAGCAGCTATGTTCGCTATGAAGCACAGTGAGCCAGGGGCCATGTGAGAGATGTTTTTTCCTGGCACCACCTGTGGGGCTTACAGATTAGAATAGGTCCCCAGCAACTTATGCTTGGCCATGTTTCAAAAAGCGATCACAGGGCTACGAATGTCGTAAGTAAACTATGGGAGTTACGTTCACTCTAGCGTTATGATCGCTTTGTGAAACGGGGCCCTGGTCGTAAGAGGGCATAGTGGAATGGGTGGTTAGGCTCAGTGACTTGGTTGACTGCATGTCATCAAAACCCAACAGCATGGGAAGTTGCTCATGACATCAATCACTGGCTTGAGACATGAGTATTTACAGGCCATCCCCATACAGCTGGAATATTGCTGTTGTGATGTAAGGAAACAATCAGCCATCTCCCCATGTTACAACAAGCATGAAGTACTGGAGGCAAAGTGTGTCCTGCAGTCTTCAACAATGACAACTTATTTTCCCCCATGAAAACAATTCTGCATACAAAGGTATGGTCATGACCGTAAGCAAACAACACCAGTGTTTGTTCAAGTCTTGTAGTGAGTGAGTATAGTTTAACGCTGCTAATATTCCAGCAATATCATCATAGGGGACACCACAAAAGTGCTGAAGTCTTGTAAGAAAATAAGCTTTCTTACCTGCGAGTCAGGATTTGCATCATCAGAACTGGATATTTCAGGAGTTTCAACCTTCAGCTGTTCTTTCAATCGTGCATCATTCCCTCTGGACTGGCGTGTATTGCTAGTTGTAGGGGCTGTTGCGTCTTCCTCCCTCCGCTCCACTGTGACGAACAGTCGAGACAAGCGTCGCGTCAGTCTGCTCTGACGACTGGAACCACTGGTAATAGCAAATGAGAAATCTTACACATGAAGCAACTTTCAACAAACTAACATAAAGAGATTTTCTATTTAATAGCAATTTACAACAATACTCTACAGATCAACAGTTTGTAGTGATTATTACCTTAAACCACAATTTTCATCACATTCATTAGCAGAATTATAGTATCATAAACATGAAAAATACACCTTAATGTCTGCCTGACACAATTAGTCAATACCTTCAGGTAATTATCAATACAAGACAAGCAAGCTCTCTTAAATGCTTGGATAGATGGTTGTGAAGGGCGGGTATTCAGGTTTCCCAACTACATCAAACAGATTTGACATTTCACCATAGAGGCATTCTAAAATGTCGATGTTTGTCCTTGATCATAGCTAGTCCTTGTTTTAGTTAAAGATATGTCAGCCCACCTATAGCACAGAAAAAGACTTTTATCAATGATCTTAAATATGTCTATTTTTAGCTGAATGTCCAAGTCAGTGTATCAGAATGAGTGCTCAACTTTCCAGATATTTCATTAATGCCAAAAACATATACTGCACATTATAGACAATAAAACATGCCAAATGAAAGTCTTTCACTACTGCATGTACTGTATGCTCATGATGTCAACATCCCCAACTTCCCATGTCCACAGTGAAACATTCTACTGCATCAGTTTAAAAGCCAAAAGCCTGAGTCAAGTAAAATATTGGCTGGGCTATGGGGTATGATAACATGTTTTTGTGATACAAGCATAGAAATAAAAGAGTTTTTACAAAACACAGATTCATGTTAGTAGGAGGATATGGCACAGAATGACTACCTCTGTTTTCACCTGTGTCAGTTTTCAAAGAATAGTTACCGTCAATAAATATTTGAACAAAGAAAGGTATTTTAATCATGCAAATCATATCTTTTAATTATTACTCTATTATCATGAGTTTATTATTAAGGCAGGGACTTACATCATTCCCACGTATTTTGTGGCAGAAATGTTTCAAATGTCAACTGATCATAAGCCTTCCCTCCCTATTTGGTGAATGACTGGTGAGCATGCATTGGTGGTTAAAGTGATCATTGTTTCATCTGAACAATGACCAAAAAGCAGAAACCAAAGTTGAACTTGCCTGTTTTCCCCAGAGTTCCGAGATTTGGTCGTGGAAGTCAAAGGTCGACAGGATAGTCTTCTTTTGTTTTGATCTACAATGCTGCTGCCGATACCAGCTACCTGGTTTAAGGCACCGATGTTTTCAAAAGCTCCTAACTCCTGAAATCATAGCATAAAAACATCAGCTCTACATCTACAGTTCATCAATGCAACAAATTGATAGCAAGATGATTCTTCCATGGAGTGAGTGAGTATTTCAGCAATATTCCAGCAATCTCATGGCGGGGGACACCAGAATGCTTCCACGGAGCAGTGTCTATCTGGACAAATCTGTTTTCACAGAAAATGTCTATATGAAGCATATGACCTGATATCTGAGTCTGTTTTGAGTGATAAATTATTGTAAAACAATTCTTCATTAATTAAAACGGATCTCTCAATCAACTTCACTCAAAGTAGTCAGAACAAATCAAACCACAAAGTTTAAACATTCAATTCATTATGAAACAACAAAGGTGACACAACACTGCTACTAGGCATTATGTCTTGTAAAGGCATTCTTTATGAGCATGTATCAAGCTGAAAGTTTATCAGTTGTGATCAGTTTCACTAAGAAACAAGATGACCACCATGCCTGACCTTCCTGGTAAAAGATCAAAGAAAACTGACTCCCTTTATGTGGGATGCTGAAGTATGTGCATACTGCATAGTATCCATCATTATACAATTTTATAACCCAGCTAAATGTCTCTGAATTAACAGAAATTTATCCAACAAAAGATTATCTGAGACTGTCAGACATTCAATTTCTCAAGGCTGTGGACAGGAAATTTATTAACTTTGCCATTACCATTTCGTGAAGAATTCATCAACATGACCGAGCTGAAGACAATAGAAAACAAATGCAGCTGACAGCGATTACATTTGAAAAACTAGTGAAAACAGGCCTTTTTTAAACTGAAAAACATTGTGCAATCCAGGATCTGCTTTTAATGTTTCTTTAAAAAGATTGATGTGAACATTTGACTGATGTAGAAGTTGTCTTTGATAGGTATTTAGAAGTTGGAAGAACATGAATACATGACATTTTTTATGGATAGCAACTTCTACATCGTACTTCGTTTCAGAGCTGCTTCTTGCTCTTCCATCAGGTGAATACTGAGTAAGTGCCAAGAGTTACTATGTACATACAATGGAAGAAGTCAATGGGATAAATAATCCTATCTCATTGGCCTTGTCATGATATTGTTATCTTTGTACATTCATCCCACCTTGTGTTGTGTAAACATATCATATCATATATATATAAACTTAATGCACTTTCTCAGCATTCATCTGATGAAGGAGCAAGAAGTAGATCTGAAACATTGTGACAAAGACAAAAAGAAGTTGCTATCTATAAAAGAAAAGAGTCATGTATTGATGTGGAAGTTGACTATGTTGTTTATTGTCAATGGTGTCACAAATCAGATTCTACTTCCTATTGTAAGAGGCTGTCAAACATTTTACAATATTAAAAAAATAATAATGATTCTGTTTCCAGTCAAAAGAAATCTATGACCTGGACAGACAATGGCTGTGTTCAGTAAATGTCACCACATATCGTTTTGGTTAAATGAGCATCTGAGCATCAACAAGCTAATGGTAAAAAATTAGTAATTACGAATGTGACATTATTTGGCTTATTTTATGTTGGATCAAGTTTTCTTTCAATGTAAAAATGACAACAATGGCATCATAGAGGATGAAATGTCAAACAAAATGTCTGCCACCAACTCATCGTCAACTGCAAATCAACAATCTATACACATAAACTTGCACACAATAACCTTACCAGCAGCAACTTTATATCCTGTCTATGTACTTGATATAGAAGTCATTAGTGCTCTAAATATTTTTTAAAAAAACAATCAAATCAGTCTTTAACTTTAATAGCTGTCATCGCCTTTGGCAAAAGTCTTAAAACATTTGGGAGTTCTGATTTCATAATGACACTGAAAGACAAAAGATGCCCAGCTGAAAAATCCCAAGATGATATCCAGTATCAAAATGAGATTCTGTCAAAGATTGTTATGTTCAAGCAGCAAGGTTTTCAGCACAAAACACATGTACACTATGACCTGGCAGGTTACTTCCAGCGTCTTCAAGGCAGAATGATTAACACCACCCCAGCAAACCTACACTAACACCTGGATCCATTCCCATGGTTTTCATGACCTCATACCTGCTTGTGATTTTCGTTACCCAAATTTGATTTGCTGCACTACTCAGTCTAATGGACCAACCTGAATTGTGAGTTACAAACAGCCTCAATGTTGAGTTGGCGATATCAACAACATGGTGGCCATTCCCATTTATTACGACAGAGTTTGCGAGAAATTTAACATTGAAAAACTGACTGGCACACAAAAGAAAGCCTTTCAAAATAACTTCCTCCTGCCTTACCCATTTTCTTTTTATTTATCTCTCGCTGTCTGATTGGTCCAAAAAATGGACAAGGTCGGGTAATTTAAGATCTTAAGTGAGTGAGTGAGCTGGGTTTAACGCCGCTTTTAACAGTTTTACAGTTATATCGTGGCATGTAAGGTTAATGAGGGAGGACAGCCTGATGGAGGTCTCAGGCGTTTACCACTTTGGTGAAACCCACAAGCACGGGTATGGTGTTGACAAACCTAGAAACAAAATCGGGGTGAGTCAGGATTCAAACCCACAATCATAGGTTTCTGGCGTGCCCAAAGGACTGAACTCTGCACAGCGAATCGCGGCGACTTAGCCAACAATGCCCCCTAAGACCTTTAGAACCTTGGGAATGGATCCAAGGGTTAATGTAGGTTTACCTAAATGCGAGCCCTAGAGATATAGAGGATTCTGAAAAATGTTAGAATCTGCACATTAAATTAGCAGGGTTAGAAAAAAATTTGATGACACTTAATATGCAAATATCTACCAAATGGGGACAAGCATGGGTTACTTGGGACAAGCATGGGCTTCTAGGGACAAACATGGCTACTAGGGACAGGCATGGGCTACTAGGGACAAGCATGGGTCACTAGGGACAACCATGGGTTACTTGGGACAACCATGGGCTACTGAGGAAAAGCATGGGTTACTGAGGAAAAGTATGGGCTAATAGGGACAAGTATGGGCTACTAGGGACAAGCATGGATCACTGGGGACAACCATAGGCTACTTGGGACAACCATGGGATACTGAGGAAAAGCATGGGTTACTGAAGAAAAGTATGGGCTAATGGGGACAAGTATGGGCTACAAGGGACAAGCATGGGTTACTGGGAACAAGCATGGGCTACAAGGGACAAGCATGGGTTACTGGGGACAACCATGGGATACTAGGGACAACCATGGGCTACTGAGGAAAAGCATGGGTTACTGAGGAAAAGTATGGGCTAATGGGGACAAGTATGGGCTACAATGGACAAGCATGGGTGGGGTCACGGGGGACAACCATGGGCTACTGATAAAAAGCATGGGTTACTGAGGAAAAGTATGGGCTAAATGGGATAAGCATGGGCTACTGGGAACAAGCATGGGGTATTGGGGTCAAGCATGGGCTACTGGGGACAAGCATGGGGTATTGGGGTCAAGCATGGGCTACTGGGGACAAGCATGGGGTATTGGGGTCAAGCATGGGCTACTGGGGACAAGAATGGGGTATTGGGGTCAAGCATGGGCTACTGGGGACAAGCATGGGGTATTGGGGTCAAGCATGGGCTACTGGGGACAAGCATGGGGTATTGGGGTCAAGCATGGGCTACTGGGGACAAGCATGGCGTATTGGGGTCAAGCATGGGCTACTGGGGACAAGCATGGGGTATTGGGGTCAAGCATGGGCTACTGGGGACAAGCATGGGGTATTGGGGTCAAGCATGGGCTACTGGGGACAAGAATGGGGTATTGGGGTCAAGCATGGGCTACTGGGGACAAGCATGGGGTATTGGGGTCAAGCATGGGCTACTGGGGACAAGCATGGGGTATTGGGGTCAAGCATGGGCTACTGGGGACAAGCATGGCGTATTGGGGTCAAGCATGGGCTACTCGGGACAAGCATGGGCTACTTGGGACAAGCATGGGGTATTGGGGTCAAGCATGGGCTACTGGGGACAACCATTGGCTACTGAGGTCAAGCATGGGCTACTGCTGAGCTAATTAAGAACAATGTTGGATAAATCATGAAATGTGCTGTCACACAAGGAAACAGATGGAAAATGAACACACACAATGCACAGTAAGATTCCCAAAATAAAGCTGGGATCCCTATTTTAGCTGCTCTTATGACCAACAGATTCCTATTTCAGCTGCTTTTACGGTCAACAGATCCCTATTTCAGCTGCTTTAATGACCAACAGATCCCCATTTTGGCTGCTCTTATAACCAATAGATCCCTATTTCAGCTGCTTTAATGACCAACAGATCCCCATTTTGGCTGCTCTTATGACCAACAGATCCCTATTTCAGCTGCTTTTATGATGAACAGATCCCTATTTCAGCTGCTCTTATGACCAACAGATCTCCATGAGAAAAGGGAATGATCTTTATGTATCAGAAAGTTGCTTCCAAATATTAATGAAGGGGGATTTTCCTTCTAAGACATTTGATAGCCAGGAATAAACACATGGAGTGATCTCTTTCAACACCAGTCAACCAGAAGCTTTTACTGCTGTGACAAACCGAGTTCCCAGAGACTCTTGTATGGTAGATGAAGCCAGCATTTATAAAGGATATTATCTGCTTGTAATACATCTTTGCAACTACATGTTATACACCATTTGAAAGGTCTAATCCTACTGTTTATACATATGAAACTTATGTTTATCATATCAATGCATATACAACTTAATTAAGCTTGTTGTAAATAAATAAATGTAAGCTAACACATTCATAATGTCCAGATTAAGGACCATGGAAGCCAAAATTTGATGATTTTCGGCAAACATAAGATTTCATAAAATCCACTTACCTCATTCGTTTTTATTTTCTCTTTACATGATTGAATTGTGTTTTAAAAAAGAATGATAAATAGTATCTGTCATTACCCATTTGCTGATAACAGCTGCTGTCCGCTCAGTAACATGAGGAAATACCTCCCTTTCCGAAGCTTCGTATGAATTACACGTGCGTATGAGCCTTTGATGTCAGGCATTATCAGACAGCTTAGATATTCACCTACATGATAGTAACTTCCCCTGGTGTCTTTTCGTAGCTGTAACAATGACATGCGATTTTACTGGATAGAAGTTGGTTTCTAATGACGCTTTCTTGCTTAAATCTGCTTCAAGGTTTGTGATTGGCATGAACTAATAAATCAGCCAATCACATTACAGTAATGGTACCATCCTCGTGTAAGATAATTTTCAGATTTTGATGAAAGGTTTTGGTTAAATCATGTTATTCTCAGCGTTTTGAGAAGTAAATCATGATCTATAGTACTTATCATATGGAACTTCCTGGATGTATCATGCTAGGTTACGAGCTGTGACAAAGATTTCTCTTTATATTTTGGCATTAAACATTGTGTCCGAGCCAATAAATCGAGTCTACGAAAGATATTATTTGACTTACATTACACGTGATTGCACAAGAAGATGGAAATAATAACTTAGATTAGTTTGACAACTTTTAGATTTCTGTTTCTTATTTTTTACTTCATAAAATATTATATAATATTTAAAGCTCTCTAGTTGCTTGAAACATCTTTTTTTGCTCTTTGACATGTTCGATGTGGACCTTATGTCTAAGGGTGTGTCGGAGAATTTTATTTTCAACAACATTGCAGAAAATAGTGAATATTTTTTAATATATTGATAAAATATTGAAATGCAATACGTATTTGAGACATTGTGAAATGTGATAAATTTAATAAATGAATGATATGACAGGTAGTTATTATATAAAATTATACACTATTTTGATGTCATGACAGCTTGGTTGGTGTACTGGCCTGCAGTGTTAAAAGAGTTAAGGTAAAGAGACAAAAAAGGGTCTAATGTCCCGTTCAAGACTTCTGCACTTATGTATCGGGTGCACAGTCTTCTTGTACTAGCTCCGGACTCATGCCGGTTTTACAGTGCTTGCAAACTGAGATACCATTCAGCAGTTTCACATGCATACCAATCCTCACTCCCAGTCCTTGCCCCAAGCCCTCACTCCTGGCCCTTGCCCCAGCCTGCGCCCTCACTCCCAGACCTCACACTTGCCCTTGTACTCACTCCTAGCCCTAACTCCCATCCCTCGCCCTCACTTCTAGCCCTCACTCTGAGCACTTGCGCTCACTCCTAGACCCTGCCCTCTCTCTTACCTTCACACTCACTCCTACCCCTTGACCCAACCCTCACATCAGCCCTCGTCCGCAGTCCCTAGCTCTTGCCCTTAATCCTAACCTCTCCTCGCCTTCACCCCAAGCCCTCGCCCTCTCCCTCACCTAGCGCGAAGCCCTCATCCTGAGCCCGAGCCCTCTCCCTCACCTAGCGCGAAGCCCTCATCCTGAGCCCGAGCCCGAGCCCCAGCCCTCACCTAGCACCAAGCCCTCATCCTGAGCCCGAGCCCGAGCGCCAACCCTCACCTAGCGCCAAGTCCTCATCCTGAGCCCGAGCCCGAGCCCCAGCCCTCACCTAGCGCCAAGCCCTCATCCTGAGCCCAAGTCCTCGCCCTCGCCCCAGCCCTCACCTAGCGCCAAGCCCTCATCCTGAGCCCAAGCCCGAGCCCGAGCCTGAGCCCTGGCCCACATCGACAACGTACATCCACGAAGAACTAGACCCATGGACAAGATGGAACTTCAAGGTTGCACCCAGCTACACTGTTCACGAACTGGCACCTTAAGAATTGAATACCAGGTTAATTGCAGTTTTCCACATTAGCCACTAGTCTGCAGTCTGAGTCTAGTAAATGTTGGGTTTTTTTGTCTTGTAGATGTTATTATAGAAACAATAGCTCATATATGAAATACTAGCTGACCCAGACTGTAACAGCAACCAACATGACTTGAAAAATAATTGCATTTGAGGATAAACTTAAACGTCTTCTCAAATGTGCAAGAACATGCAAAAAAAAGTCCATCTAAGCTGGAAGAAAGCTATTTGATGAAATTGAACCAACTCAAAATGTTTTGCGTTAGAGAAAATGTTTTTCAACTGACAAACATGTCATCGCTATAGGATATCCTCTAAGCTACATAGGAAACAGAATTACATGAACAACAACACAAAGCTGGTATATCCAAGCTGTACTTACCTTTCTGTGCTTGACAATGGCTTCAGCTTTGCGTGTGCCAACACCCACTAGTGTCTCGAGCTCGCTGACTGTTGCTGTGTTAATATCCACTCTGCGTCTGGCCATTCTCTGCTGGTAGTAGCCCAACTTGCTCTGAGGACACACAAGTATTCCCAATATCATCTGCTTGTTCCATCAGATAAAATATATATATTGTTAATAAACTGTTTACTTCCAACAAATGGCAATCCTCTAAATCCTCTCATCTAAAGACCCCCATCATCATCATCATCATCATCATCATCATCATCATCAAAATGGACAACAAATACCAGAAACCATATACTAATATATGGTCTCTGCAAATACCAACTGGAATCTGAAAATAGTATGCATGTTATTGTTAAGCTGTTGTTGTTTAAGAATGGTATCAACACTGACTGTATCCTCATATTGTATTGATACCACCATGACCACTGAGGGGAGGATTCCTGGGAATAATAGGTCCTCACTCCTCAGTATCCCATATTTGCTGTAAATCCATGAAGATCCAGGTTGGAATAGGTGGGTGAGGTGAAATGGGATTTCAACAATGTGTTCAAGATTATTGTACTAATATAGTGACTTGCATGTACATGTGTGTGTGTGGTTGTTTGAACTTGTCTGGACTAATGCTGATTTTTATAGTGCTAGCCCCCTGAAATACCATGCTGCAGTTTGACATGAACACCCCACTCACACACTGTATACTGACTCTGAGCTGACCCATCTTTGTTTAAGACCCTTAACCCCCCTGGATGCCATTTGGACATATATGTCCCTACACAAAACGCAGTTGCTGTGCCAGAGGGACATATATGTCCTTCTGAAACATCATGTTAAAAGAATTGAAATAAAATATTTTTGGATTACCCCAAGCCCATAGCAATTGCAACATCGCAAAAAATAGTAAATTTTCAAAACATCAAAAACACAGAAAAGGTACCGCAACTTTTCTACTTTGTCCCTTAGTCAGTATACATGTTCCTGATGAATACGTTCTGCACACATTCATAACCTTTGTCTTATAATAATTAGTTGTCATCATTCTGATGATAACACATGGTACTTAAACATGATTCAACAAACAAGGATAGGAACTGATTGAACCATGATAACTGTTGAATAGAATCAAGTGCAGGCAAGTAGCATGTTTCCCTCCTATAACTGTAAAACCATAGATGCTGGAATTCAACATGTTTAAGGTGTCTTTAATAAACTTCATATCTTTTATTATGTGTACAATGCATAAATTTCACGTTAAACTCAAACATGACTGAGTCAATTGACGGAGTATGTATTTCCCCCATGTACCTTCATGAAGAGATACAAAGCACAGCGCTTGGCGCCATGCAATAACCTGACAACACCAGATTGTTTCATTGTGATAATGGACAATGCTAGTGTACCATGATCTATCATTTCACGTCAAGAATCTTCCAAAACGTACCTATCACCTTTTCAATGTGTTTTTCCTGCTTGAACTCACATTTTAGAAAGAGTACCATGATTATTGTATCACATGAAACTGACTTAATGTTTATTGCTTTGTATTCAAAGCAGTCTAACAAATATCAAAGCTGCATGTGCTTACAAAGATATATTGTATAACAACTCAGCATGCTCATATGCTGCAATCACATGTTGCACAGCTTACACCCACACAAACATCACATCTACACAGCCGTCATGTCTAAGGGTGCGCTGGATTACCAGTATATCTGAAAATTGAGGTTCACTCGTAAATATCCATGATACGTATAGTGAATCTCACCCCAGTGTCTTTTGATATGAAGTATATCAACACTCATTGAAAAAAGTGGAAAAACTCTGAGGCTTGCCAGTTTGTAGACAGTAATAAGCAGTGTCTTAAGTGTAAAAAGTACTGCTAACAGCTTCAGTAGCAGAGCCATTAGTGATGTCATTTGCTTGTGACATCATGGTAACCTATGACGTCACAATGGTCTGCAAAGCATTGTGATGCAATTTCATTGCAGCGATATCTTCAAGCCATAATTACTGTGGGAGCCAGTTTTGGATAATAAATCACATTCTACCATGAATTTGGAATTTACTTGATTCTGATGGGTCAATCAGAGGCTTATTAATCACAATCACACCCCCTATGATTGAAACAGCTGGTTTGACGGCCGCATCACCGCTGAAGCTAATATTCATAGAATAGTACTATTTTCAGTCATTGTCGGTAAGCATATTTAAATAATTATATCTACAATTACAGGTTACAAAATAAACAGATGCGGTTACGACAATATTCAAAGGATGTGTGGCAATATATTTCGTGCAGAAAACATGATAGAAATCTAAAAAGGGAATGTATTTACGTTTTGGAGACAACAGAGACAACATACTGTGTTTTCAATGTAGACCTAGGTTATCTGTAGATTTAACCGCACTAAATTTAACATTTGAAACCTCACTCTGCGCATTCGGTTCCAAATTCAATTTAGCGTTGTTAAATCTACAGGTAACCTAGCTCTACGTTGAAAACACAGTATGGTTATGTCCTAAATATCATTTTGTAATGCTTGGAAAATGGGGTTATTTAAAACAGCGATTTTTATCATGTGTTATTTTACTGTTAGTTAAGAACTTGCCAAATTACCTGGAGTGTTCATCTTGAACATGCATTCGTGCGTATTTATGGAATTAGTAAACATAACGTTGTACCAGCATCTTGTTTTGTTCCGATTATGAACTTCAATTCATACACTGGCCAGGGGTTGAAAAATTATTAAAAATGTTACTTGACCAAGGGCAAGTATGACCAACATTCTCACTTGCCCTATTTTAAAATGTACTAGCCCAAAATCAAGCTAATAAATTCAGTAAAATGTTACTGCTGCAGAACTGAGAATAAAATTATGAAATTTGAACATCCATCAATAAACGTTCTCTTACGATTGCAAGCGTGTATGTTTGGGTACTTGGAACAAATGGTGCACTTCATGACTTTCGCTGTGTCATCATACGCAACCCAAGGAAACTGGTCTTTCCACCCAGCGATGAATGTTCGTTTTCGTTTACATTCGTCATACTTTTTATTCTTTGCCGACATACAACTTTCGGAATTTCCCTCTGCCTTCCTTTTAAGTTCGTCCCCACCGCCAAAGAAACTTAAAATAGACCGCTGAGACATGATCGGCCATGTGCGGTACTGGCAATATAAATTGTTATTGCAGATACCCCTCTGGGTGCTAATGAGGCAAAGGGAGGCTACTCTGTCCTTTACTAGCTTACTCATTTGAAACAACAGATTTACTTACAGTGATCCCTCGCTATTGCACTCTTCAATATAGCGCTAACTCGGTTATGGTGTGCGGTAACACATGGTTCCCAAAACTTATATACACTTTTAGTAAACTCAAGTCACTGACACGATGTCATTTCCCCATCGCAAAATCATTACCACCTGTACGCAACACCGGAAATACCAATCAACAAATTCCGCAATTAAATCCTATTATTACTATCTGGTTATAAAAAAACCACGATTGTACCTTGACATATGTTTGTAGCATACTTTATTAATTTTATTTAAAATTTCATTCAATACAGTTTAGATCAATTTTGCCGAAATCGTGCGTAAAGGGGTCGATAGATCGCACAACTCGCTGTTATTTACAGCAACCACGGTCAGCGCCTCGAATGAACTTTAGTTGACAACGAAAAGAAACACATATTAAATAAATGCCATACTTTCACTCGTTAAAAGTTCCGTTTGTTGTAGTTCGACAAAATTATATTTCATCAAAGCTCGGCCTAACGAAGCATCTAAAGTCGGAAAATGTTTCAACCTGGCGTTACAATTTCCAAGAAATTCCATTTCCAAGAAACTTGTGCCATATATGGAAGTGTTAACAATGAAACAAGCCTGGTTCTCGTTGTTGACCTGCCTGACATCGAAATGTATTAATCCCATTGGTTGACTGGCGTAGCTGTATGCAAATTACATTGTCAGTCTGGGACACTAACAAAATATTAGCCAATCAAATACCGTAACATGATCACATGATTACATTCGCGTGAAACTTGACCCAGTTCATTTTGTGTGCTCTACTTGTCCACGGGCATGCTAGAAAACGTATATTACACGCCCGACATCTAAACCTTACTTGGCACGGGCGTCGGGCAATGGTATTTTTCAACCCCTGCTGGCATTTCAAATTGCTTTTGAATTCAAAATTTAGAATTATACAACATACGGGGATACATATCGCAATATGGCCTTGTGCATCATACAATATTGTGATACACTTCAAACCTCTAATAATACCTATATCTGCCTGTACACTCGGAAATATGTCCTATCGATAACGTATAAAGATATAATATATATATATCAGTTTCAAGAGTGGAAAAAAGTATGACTTATTACAACTAATCAGTTCCAAAATGTGCCTGACGAGGGAAGCCTGGGACAGGTTCGAGGAAGCAGTGTTGTTTCAGGTTCCATGTAATCCTGGTAATAAAGATGTTGAAGGAGGCAAGCAGACAGGGTAAAGTTGACTTATCATAATGGTTACTGGTGTGCAAAGGAGGTAGTATGGATGCATAGATGACAAGTGTAATGACTTGTAGTTGTATATGCATTAAAATCAACAGGTGGAGGTGAGGTGAAATTTATCGTTGCATTCAAGGTTCTTGAACACGTGTGAGTGAGTACTACTCTCGGACCCACACACACAGTGTAAACTGACTCTGAGCCAACCAGTCCTTGTTTTATCCCTATACCGGTATGCCAAGCACTATCAGCCAACACAAGTACCATCTCTTAATGTCCTTTGGTATGATCAAACCATTTACCTTCCGCTCTCCAGACAGACACTCTATCCACAACACATCTAGATTCTAGTTTAAATACCCATCCTTCCCTGATCGCAACGTGCATAAGAAGACACATGACTTCATCATCTATTGATCATGACTGAACCTGATAACAGACACAAACATTTATCAATCTAATGTCCACATTATGCTCTATGAAAATGGTTCGTAATCGTCTTGACTTCTGTTCCGCGCTCACATAATGACATGGAAGACATGACAAAATCTCTTTGTAGCCAGCATCTAATGTCTCCTGGACTTCAGGA